AAGAGAAGAGAAGAGAAGAGAAGAGAAGAGAAGAGAAGAGAAGAGAAGAGAAGAGAAGAGGCTTAGCGAGGCATGCAGGTGGATGCCACCGCCCTCGCTGGATGCGCTCACATTCTTCCGGGAGTTAGAGACGCGCGCCTGAAAGTCTGCGACAGCGCCCTCAAGCTCCTTCTTCATGACGCTGGCCAGCTCGGCGTGGGAGCGAGCGGTGATGTCGATCTCCTGCTTGAGCGTCTCCAGCGCCTGGCGCATCCCGCCCGTCTCGTCCCTGCCGACACTGGTCTTGGCCAGCTTGGCGAGCCGTTTGGAGTACTCGGCCTCGATATCGGCGCGTTCCTTGTAGATAAAGCGCAGCTCGTCAAGCGTCCGGTTCGCGCCACGCAGCCGCGCCTGCACGGCTTCGAATCCACCGTCTCCGATGCCCTGGAGAGAAGAGGATAGCGTCAGCTGCGTAGAAGGTCACGAGCTAGAGGCCCTGGACTCCAAGACTAACCCAGAAGGCGTTGCAGAATGAAGTTGTCTCGGCGAGCTCCCTGCGGATGTACTCGTCCTCTGCCGCCATCCTCCTTCCTGCCTCTCCGCCGTCGTAGCCCATGGCGGTGGCAGAGTGAGCGCCGGCACTGCCGCCCCGCGAGTGGGCCGAGCGCGCCGAGCCAGCCGAGGGGGAGCGCCGGTCGGATGGCATCTCGAGTCTTCCTGAGCCTGTGTCTTTTGCTATCACGTGTCGTGTCGGTTGTGCCTGCTTGCTTGCTCGCCTGCTTTTGCCCAATGTGCAGGATCGATGGCCTCGCTCGCTCGCTGGCTGGCTGACTCTAGTTGTGGTGTAAGAAAAGGGAAGGGTGTCGTGCTGATATCGGTAGAAGTGCCCACGCCAGACGGGTGGGGCCAAGGTGGGATTCCCTCTGTGTGGTGCACACGTCCACTCATTTGATGATTGCGTGCGCCAGACTTGCTTTCGCTCTCCCACAATAGATTGCACTGATTCTACAGGCGACTAACCTACACAATAACCATCACTCTGGCACACGCATCCAGATCCAGCGACGACACGCGTTGCACTCGGACAACTGTACAAGCACGGCCCTCAGCTGCAGTGGTCCGTGCTGGACTGCATGCAGTCAGCAGGATGCCTCGCATGGGCGGCTGGTCGAATGAAACGGCAATGCATGGTCCGTGCGGGGTGCTTGCCGCACCTGGTTCCCGTCTGTCGAACGTGCGCTTGCTTCCGCATTGGCGTTGGAAGGGTTAAAGCAGGCGTCGACCCCACAATGCTGCTGAAGCGCCTGTCCAAGTACACACAATACTCGTCAACTCTGCAAATGCGTAACTAGCGCATAGTCACTCCCGCCCCATGTCCAAGTTCGCGGATACAAAGTCTGCGCATGTCTCCTGTTCTTTGCGCAAGCGATACTTGGACGTGTGGAGAACAAAAGCCTCTTTGTACGAGCAAGCGGCATGGGACCACCTCAAAATACGATAGCATGGACATGTCAGTGAGGCTTCGTGGAACTTGGGGACGGAAAGGTGTACCCAAGCGTGGAAGAGGGAAAGCCAGTGCGTCCTCGCCATTGCCTGTCGGTCGCAAACATGGATGCAGATGCCCAGCGTCCGCAGAATGCACAGTGGGCAGGAAGGAAAAAGACATATCACGTCCTGGACAGGCTCTGACGATCCTGGTAAGCTACCGACGACCTGGTTCTGGCAGCTTTGCGAGCATTGGGAGTGTCGATCGCGAGGCCTCCGCGTTCGAAGCGGCAGATATGACTGAGCCAGCAAGATGAAAAGGGACGGCGACAGAGTGCTACCCTCCATTCTCTCACGTCAAACACTTTGATGCGAGACAAGAGATTCTGCAGCCGGCTTGCCTCGTCTCGCCTCTCCTGCTTCCTGTATCCGTCGCGCGTCACTGCTGGGACGATGGACTAAGGACAAGCCGGGCCGCCAACCGCTGCGTGCGCCATTCAATTTTCGGGGCCCATGCTTTACATTCTTCAAGCTCTGAGAGACTGTGTACGACCCCCTCGCTGCCACGGCTGGCACACGAGGTGCGGGGTTGTGAGAGGTCGCAGTTCAATATTCCAAGAGTGGCAAATCTGCGCGCGAACCCAGCGCGATCTGTGTGCTACATATATCCTTTGCGGCGTTTGCAGTGTGAATCCGACTTGATTTCCGCTTCTCATTTACTTTTCCATTTTGCCAAGCGTTGTGTACGTGGGTTCCCTTGCGCCTTTCCCTCTTCTTGGATGTAGAGCCATTGGAACGGGTTGAGGTTTCCCAGTGTACTGGATAGAATTGCGTTTGTTGAACAGAGCACCGGGGGGGCGGGTCGACGAGTCCCATTATTCAGACGGAAATTGGGGGAAATGGGTACATTCTGGGGTGTTGTGATCATGGAGGAGAGTCTGGCGGCCCTTCCGGGGAGAATCCATCCAAATAGGTGAAAAGATGGAGAGAGCGGGGTAGCTGGATTTTGTCAAGTCGCGCTCTGTTCAATTTGCAAGCAGGCGAGCTAGGCGAGTGTGTGTGCCACAGTGCCGCCCTGATGACGGCTGCACGTGTCGCTGTGCTATCCGCCGCTTGGGTTGGGGCTAGTGATCACAGCAAGGATATGTACCGTAACTCGCCCCTACAAAAGACTCTACTGGTGCTAAGGACTTGGCAGGCCGAGGGGGGGCGGGGGGGTAACTGCCATGAACCACGGTGGCCACATGTACGTACGTACACACGACCCGCAACAGCGGCCATCATCTCTCACAAAGCAAAAGCAGTCATCCATCGACAAGAGGAGGACACAAAGCGAGAGGAATAGAGAGGGAAAGAGAGGAAGAGAGAGGAAGAGAGAGGAAGCGGGGGTGTGCATCCAGAAGACGTAGAGGGAAAATAAGAGAGACACTCGCCCAGTTCGTGCCTCCTGGCACCCCCCATCGTGTTGGCAGTGTCGAGACCCGAGCGGCAATCAGTGACAATGAGCAAAGCTTCTTGCTTACATACATGCATGCCACGGCCCAGTGTCTTTTGCAGCCCATCGGCTCCGCGCGCACTCCTCTTACACGGTGCCTGACTCGAAAAAGAGTCCGTGGGGATGGGATACCAGTGGGGCCTTTACGCCTCGCGCCCCGATGATGGTGGTGGCCACGCAGTGTGTGTGTGTGTGTGTGTGTGTGTGTGTGTGTAGAACAAGCTGGACGTCAAAGTGACGAAACTGCTTGCCGGATCACTGCCCCGCTTCGCCTCACAAGGACATGCCCTCGATCGAAGCGAGATCAAAAATAACAATCAGGCAGGCGCCCTTTCCCCGTCTCAATTGCTTCCACCTCCGCCACGACACTCGTCCACCGCTCCCTTTGGCATCCAGCGGTCAACATACAAGCCTGCGTGCGGAGCAGCTCGGTCTGCCTCGAGGTACTCGCAAACAAGCAGGCGATGGCTCGCTGCATGCACACCTCTACAGCAAGAAGCGAAAGAAGACGATGCAGCCACCCGGCCGGTAGGCCAGTCCGGTCCGGCCCGAGTTGGGAGCTCCGCAGCCAAGAGGGCAGCGAGACGAAGGGTGACAAGGACAACGCCGAGGACAACACCACATCGTTCATCGCGCGCAGAGCCGATGTGCTGTTGCACGACGGTTAGTTCGCACGCTTCGGCCGCGCCGCGAGGCTTAAGCTCGATAGGAGAGCCGTCCCGGCGTTCATGCTGCTGTGTGCGTCCGTATGCTTGCTCGACCTGCCTCACTGTGGCACGGAACGACTTTATCTTTCTCTCTCCGGCCGATTCCCTCGAGCAGGGCAGGTCAACTTTATCGATCGTTGCAACGCCGGCAACGCCCGTATCGCCGGATTGAAAAAGGAGGACCTCGGCATGCAGGGGCTTGACGTTAATACTGCACTCACGGTATTCTACACCAGCTACGCCCTTGTCAAACTGGTGTGGCTGAGCCGTCCACCGTGCATTTCGACTCTGCTCATGGTTGGATCGCCCCTCTGACCGGTCTCCGCTTCTGCAGCCCTCGAACCTCGTCCTGAAGCGCATCGGCCAGCCACAGCGCATAACTACGCCAGCTTCCTGGCCATCCGCTTTTTTCTTGGCTTTACCGAAGGCGGACCGTTGGTGCATGGCCCCCCATCCTGCCTCCCTGTGTGCTCTCGTTCGTACCAGTACCCATGCCTTTCTCCCAACCCGGCATCAATCTGTACCTGTCCTTCCACTACCCGTATTACTCACTGCCGAAGTGCATCGTATTGTTCTACTAGGGCGCCTGCGCTGACGCGTGCGCAAAAGCTGTGATGATGCCGACATGAGGAATGCACACTGCGCCCCCTCCCCCTGGCCAAAGGCGCCTCGCTGGCCGACGCGTTCGGCGGATTGCTCCCCTCGGGCCGGTCCAACATCGACATCTCGACGCTCGCCGGCTTGTGCTGGCTCTTCCTCGTCGAGGGACTGCTGACCGTCGTGTTCGGCCACGTCGCGCGGCAGCAGGCTCCACGCGACGTGCAGAGCGCGCGTTTCCTGTGCCAGGACGAGAAGGAGGGCCCATCCCCGCCATCCTCGCGAGCGATAGTGCGCCGCCAGCATCGATGTCGGCGCCGAGACATGCGGGCCGGCGAGAAGGGCATCGGACAGCAACGCCAGGAGGCGTACGAAGTACGCCGCACGCTGGCAAGCTTGCAGACGTGGGCGACGGGGCCGTGCTAGCTGTGCCTATGCTGCTCGCTGTACTTTTTCACGCTGTTTCTGCAGACAATCCTGCGCAGGATCTACCCGGGGATCATGCAGACACGCATCCAGCTGGTCATCTTGCCCGTCTTTGTGCCGGCCACGGCGATGGTGCTCGCCCTGTCATGGGGCTCGCGGACAAGTGGAAATTGGGCTGGCCGATGGTCATGGTGCTCATGCCGGCTTCGGTGGCGGCTGATTCACAAAGGCCTGTTGAAAGCGGAGGCAGCGCTGACGCAGGACATGTACGCATACCTGCCTGTAAGATACGTCTTCCTGGCCGCATCGCACAACGCCAGGGTCAACTACACGAGGATGTTCCTAATCACACTGGGGATCTGCCCGTCTACCCCGTACACCATCGCGCTGGTCTACAACAATGCGGCACGGCACACGTAGCGCGCCAGCTCGGCCGCGCTGCAGCTGATGATCGCGCACGGCAAAGGTGCCTCCTCCTGCTGCTGTTGTTGCCACCTGGACGTTGCTGGTGCGATCGCAACCCTACACGGGGCGAAGCGCAGGGCCGGGTTGGTCGTGCGATGTTCATTTACGGCGCGCGCTTCGCGCGCACGCATTGGTGCTGGCTGGCGCGCCTCGCGCTCCGCTAAGTGTGCATCGCGAGCAACGTGACGAACTGCCACTGGGAAGACGGGCGCTCGGCGGCCTCGAGCCGGCGCTCCGGTTCACGCTTGTAAGCGCAGCGGCGGTCTGTGGGCGGGAACGAGCAGCGGACGGGCGGGCAGCGGCGATCTGGCCTGCGTATATGAATGTGCGTTTGGCGCAGGAGCTGGTTGTACGATACAAGAACGCGTGCAGGCTAAGGCAGTGGAGTCTCTTTTCCACGCATCATCATGACCATCAACATTGCCCCATCCAGCTGGCGAACTTTGCCTCCAGCGCTGCGTGGTTGCCTTATTGTCCTCGAGTGCAGCTCCCCTGCGTCTCCCATGGCATACGGGCTGGCTGCTGTCTGCCTGTTGGAGGTGAAGCCGAGCGGGGCACGGAGAAACGCACGGACGAACATGGGCACGGCCGACGCGTTTGTGGCCCGTGGAAGGTGGAGTGGAGGTGCGTCGATGGGGAGGTGATGCAACCCTCAGTTCTAGCCTGCAACGCCTCGCTCGCTGGTGGCGGTGCTGACATGTGCTGTGTGCGAGGGCAGGCACCGGGGGGGGCGAGGACGAAGTGGCATGTGCTTTGTAAGAAAACGGGACTCACATACCATTATGATTGATTGATTAATTGAATGATGCATGGCGGGGGATTGGACCATTGCGGAACGGCTAGGAGAGCGGCGCAGTGCGGTGCAGTCATAGAGTGTGGTAGGAAAGAGTGCTGTAGTGCCCGGGTCAGATCAACAGAATCCAATCAGACTGGATCGAACGGCAACTGATCACCTCGATCAGCATCGCATAGCAGCTACTATTTATGGGTAAAGAAGCCAAGGTCCGAGTTGCTGCTCCTGTCACCATGGAACAGGCAATGCTCGCTGACCAGTGCGGCCACAGCAGAGCAGAGCATCAGCACCAGAACCAGAACCAGAACCATAACCAGAATCAGCACCAATCGCGTCATCCCCTTCGCAAGGCAGGTCGCACGCGAGCCATGCACAGCTGACCGCCGATCCGGTACACATACTCGCCACCAATTGTAGCCCCGCGGCCACTGCCACTGCTGGTACGGCGGCTCACCTCGGCCGCAGGAGCGAGGAAATGCTCGCAGAAGGGCTCAGCGATGCGCTTGCCCTTCTCCCTGAATCGTCTGGCGGCAGCGGCAGCAGCCGCGGCACCGGCACCGGCGCTGCAGGTGCCTCCACCATCATGAGCGCCAGGGACGACAAGGAGAATGACAGGGAGAAGGAAAAGGATATAACAGTAGGCGAGCAGAGCGGCTCCACACACCCACAAACACAGTCTCAGTCGCGTGCACATTCACGCACCTCGTCCACGGCAGCCGCCTCGCCGCGTCGCATGTCCAGCAGCACATCCATGAGCCCCGCCGGCTGCAGCAACAGCGACTCCAGCGCCTGCAGCGGCGGCGGAAACGTAGGCTCGGCGGCGTACAGCCACGCGCATGCAAATGCGCAACATCATCCGCACCCACCCGCACATGCACACGTGTACGGCTTGTCGTCCGGCGCGGCACTCCCGCCGGCGCATGGTCATGCCGGGCGCCGCGCTGGAGGCTGGCGCGGCTCAGCGGTGCTTGCGAGCTCCAGCGCGCGCATCGTCCAGAGCCCCTCACAGCAGAGCGCCGTCAGCCTCAGCCTGTCTGGCGGTAGCGGTGCAGGTAGTGGCGGCAGCGGTGCAGGTAGTGGCGGCAGCGGTGCAGGTAGTGGCGGCACAGCGCCAGCGGCGAACAGCTCGGCTGGCGGGGGCGATTGGGTGCATCCATCGCATGGCCGCGGGAGCTTCGATGGCGGGGACAACGCCGGTGGCAGCATCGGCACAGGCACGGGGAGCGGTAGCGTCGGCTTCGGCGGCGGCGGTAGCAGCGAGCGCAGCGGCTGCGGCGCAGCATCAGGAGGAGGCAGCGCGAGCACCGACAGCGGCAGCGTCAGGACGACGGGAGGCTCGATGATCGACATCGCGAGCTCAGTGCACGCGTGGGACTTTGCGGACCACCCGCCGCACGCCACTGGCAGACCCGCCAGCTCTCCGCCCGGCGCGCTCGCACACCTCCCCCCCCTTATTCCCTTGCCCGCGTCCGCGTCTGCTGGGACTGCTGCTGCTGAGCCATCCGTGCCACCAGCAGCAACGGCGGCGCTGGCGGAGGGAAACAGGAAACCCGCAGCAAAGGGTCCCGCTCGCGAGCTGGTGCAACACGAAGCTAGAGGAGACGGCGACAGCGGGGGCGTACTCGAGGGTAGCAGCGAGGGCGAATGCGCCGACGCCTGTGACGAGTCGGCCGAGCAGAGCATGATGACCGACCCGCCGCTGTATGGTCCGGGCGATGAGGGACAGTACGACTGGGCAAACTTTGTCTTTGCCTACTCGCGCGGGCGCTGGGATCCGCTGCGCCTACCGCGCCCGCCGGGTAGGTCGAGCCTATACCCCGGCATCCTGACGCGCATTTCGCTCAACGGCACACCCGTCGCAGACATTAAGGTGCTCGGTGGGCGCCGGCCCAGCCTTGAGTATGCCAGCTCCGACGGCGGCGGCAGCGCAAGCGGCGCGGTGCTCGAGCTCGCTGCGCAGAATGCAGTCAGGATGGCAAAGGAGAAAGACGAGGTTGTCGCTGGCGCCGGGCGGAGCTCGTCGTCCGCCACAGCAGTAACTGAGGGAAGCATAGAGTCGCCGCTGCTCGCCAAACAGCGAGACAAAGCAGCTATCGATGATGACGCTAACACTACAGCCGCGGCTGCGGCACACGCTGCTGCTCTCCGCAGCCCGTCGCAGCGGGCCGTGCCGGCAACTCCAGAGCTGGACCACCTTATCCACGCCAGCACCGAGAGCGCGTGGAACGTCCCGACGACCAACAAGATCGAGGCATGTGAGAAGGAGAAGGCACAGCGCCTCCAGCACAAGCAGGAGCCCTTTGGCGCCGGCGCTATTGCAGCCTCGGAAGCGGGAGCGGGAACGGGTGGTGGCATCTCCAAGCCTTTGCACAGCAAGACACCCCCGACGCCCGTTTCGGCCGGGCAGGACGTGCTGGACTACGTGCAGGGTCTCAACTGCCCGGCCAATCTGTCGCACGACCGCGATGAGTGTCTCTGGCAGTCGGAACAGAAGTATCAGCAGCGCCGCCACGAGGCGTCCAGTAGAGCAAAGCGGCAGCAGCAACAGCAACAGCAGGGGTCCGGCGGGGATGGTGTCGCGTCAAAGTCTACACCGAGTGGGCTGCTGCTCACTGGTCGGCGTGCCGCCGTCCACGATGAAGACGAAAAGGACGAGGAGGGCAGGCAGGCGCCGCATCGACCGCAGCCAACTCCGTTACAGCCCATGCCTGTGACGTTCCTCTCGGAGCCCGCATATGGCTGGGACTCAGTCCCGGAGGGGACGAGCACGACGTTGGAGCAGGTCATGGCGCGCCAGGCCTCGCAGGGCAGCCAGGGCGACGCGCCCTCACTCTTCCTGGCATCGGACGGCGGCAGCGCCCTGGACAACACGACACTCGACGGCCTGCGCCGCGCTGCGCGTCGTGCCAGCTTCGAGCGGCGCGCCGCCACGCTCCCGCTGAAGAACTCGGACGGCAAGCTGCAGCCGCACAGCCTCAGCTTCCCGCCCAACCTATCCAAGGCCAAGGCGATGATCAGGCCCTACGGCATCCTGCGCATGACCGAGGCGAAGCTTGGCGTATCGTGGACAACGACATCCGCATGGCCCATAGCCAAGCAGGTCGCCGGGCCGCAACAGCCGGCCCGCGAGGAGCCGTTCTCGTCCATCAGCAACAGCGCTTCGATGCAGGACGTGACGGCACACGATCGGCACAGCCACGAGCAGAGACAGGGCGCAACGCCGATGCGACTGAACCCTCCAAGTGGCTCGCTCGCGGGCCGCGAGATGCTCGATCGCTCCGCCACAACCGACGGCAGCGCGCCCACGTCGTATGATGACCTGCCTCCAACGCGTCCATCCCATCGTAAAAGATCTTCGTCGTCCGGCGGCGATGCGCGCGGAGGCGGCAGCAGCAGCAACAGCAGCAGTAACGCGCAATGCAACTCGCCCAGCAAAGGCGAAGACGACGCAGGCGATGCAGGCGGAAGTGGCACGGGTGCGAGCGCAGGCGCAGGCTCGACGATCAACACCTACGTCGCCGCTGGTCGACAAGCGGAAGCATTCTTCCGCGAGAACGGCTACCTACCCGCCGTACCGCCTCCAAATGAACTCGACCGAAGGAAAGCGCTACGGCGCTACGGCCCGCCGAAGCTCTCCGGCAACGCGAACTTCGACCGCATTGCGCACTTGGTCAAGCTTGTGTTTAACACCAAACTCGTCCTCATCAGCCTCATCGGCGAGCGAGAGCAGATCTTCCGCACTGAGAGCGGAGGCGGCGGCGACTTGAACCTCAACACCCTGCAACGTCTTGCCGGGTCGCGTGATTGCTCGTTCTGTGGGCATGCCATCCTGCAGGATGGAGATGAGCCAATTGTAGTGCTGGACGCAGCAAAGGACTGGCGCTTCGCTGGCAACCCGCTTGTCACGAGCGTGCCCAACATTCGCTTTTACGCCGGCAGCCCCCTGCGCACCGCTGATGGCTACAATATCGGAAGCCTGTGCGTCATCGACAACCGGCCAAGGGACGAATTCAGCCCGCGGCAACGGCACACGCTGCGAGAGTTCGCGCGGATCGTCATGCGCGAAATGGAGCTGCTGCGAGATCGCATGCACTTCGAAGCGAGGGACCGCATGCAACACTCGATCGAGAATTTCACACGAGAATGCCTGGAGATGGACTTGGAGGAGTCGACGGATGGCGAGGTGCATGTTGCCCAGGGTGCCAGACGTATCTATGGCTTGGCGGCCGAGACAATGCAGGAGGCGCTGCAGGCCAACGGAGCGGTCGTCTTTGACCTTTCGCACTTTGAACTGATCGAGTCTTTTCCGCCAGACTCGGAAGATTCCAGCACGAAGATCTTCTTCCCGAGTCCATACTCGCATCCGGACCTCAAGCCGTTCGCGAGTACGGATAAGCCTGACGAGCTAGACGTGGTCGACAGCCCATTCTGGGACGGGTCGCACAAGGGTGGTGCCCTCAAGAGTAAGCTGGTACCGCCTATGATCGTCCTCGGAACAAGCGAGGACCAAGAGCCTCCTCTGGAACGAGCAGATCCTGTGCCCTTATCGCATCACGTGCAGGTTGCTCAGTTCCTCAGAGCGCACCCCGCTGGCAGGTTCTACCCGTACACGCCGACGCCACTTCGGCACCTGCTTCCCGACGGCATCTCGCGCCTACTGGTCGTGCCTATCTTCGGGCTCAATCGCCAGCCGTTTGCCATGCTGTGCACGTACTCGCTCTCGACCGAGGAAGGCTCGGCATTGGAGGAGCTGAAAGAAACGGGGCTGCAGTACTTGCGAGCGATCGGCATGATCATTCTCAGCGCGGTGCTCCGCAAAGACATCATGCTTGCCGACAAGGCGAAGAGTCATTTCATCTCAAAGTGAGTCTCAAAGGGGCCACTTGTCAGAATGTTCGCTGAATTGGCCCCTTCTTGCTTCACAGCATCTCACATGAACTCCGGACGCCACTGCATGGAATTCTCGCTGCGGCAGAGCTGTTGGCCGAGACCAAATTGAGCGCGACGCAAGGATCCTACCTGGACACGGTTGAGGCTTGTGGCAAGTCGCTGCTTGAGCTTGTCAACCACGTGCTGGACTTCACCAAGCTCAGCGGGTCAAGTCGCTCAAAGGGCTTGCCTTCGCACAACAAGACCAAATGTGACCTGGTGCGATTGGTGCAGGAGGTCTGCGAGAGCAGCTGGATTGGTCAGATGGCGAAAACTCTGGGAATGCAGAGCAACTCGGGCATCGGATCGCTCTATGCTCCTCCAGAAAGCAAGATCGCCTCTGTCGCTGCGGTACCGCAAAAGCTGGTTAACAATGACGTGGAGACGGTCATCGAGATCTCGTTCCGAGAGAATGGCTGGCTGGTCAACTGCGACACGGGTGGGATCCGGCGTGTGCTCATGAACTTGATTGGCAACTCTCTTAAGTTCACTTCTGCAGGCTTCGTGCATGTCTCTTTGCGGGAGCTCTCTAGCACTGATACGCACATCATCGTCGAACTCGGCGTCACCGACACTGGGCGGGGCATTTCCAGACACTTCTTAGAAGAGCAGTTGTTCCACCCCTTCACGCAGGAGAATACCCTCGGCACCGGTACAGGCCTTGGGCTTTCCATCGTCAATAGCATTGTTCAGTCGCCAGCGATGAACGGCAAGATCGACGTCTGGAGTACAGAGGGACAGGGTACTGAAATCAAAGTCACTTGCGAGCTAGAAAAAGCCACGGCACAAGAGATGGAAGGTGTGGTCTATACGTCAAGCTTGGACGTTGCCGGCGAGTATTCATTCTCGCTGCTCGGTTTTGGAGAGCCGCGAGGTCAACAAGATCTCAAGGAGGTCCTGCTGGGCTACTTGTGCGGCTGGTGGAAGTTTGCGCTTGCCGAAGAGAGTGTCGAAAGGGTGGCGGACATGGTTATCATCAATGAGGACGTCAGTCTGCTCGAAGCACTGCACGTGTCAGCCTCCAGCTCGCTGCCACCTGCGATCATTCTGACCAGCTCACGCGGCGGGCAAGAGATGGCAAATGCGTGCAACATCTACCACGAGGCCGGAGGCGTAGCGCGGATCCTGTTCAAGCCTTGCGGTCCAGCCAAGCTCGAAGCGGTGGTTGATTTCTGCCTGCAGTGTGTCGAACGCACCCGTGAGGGCAAGCCACCATTGGAGGAAGCCACGAAGGCGGACACACCGCTTCCGTCTCCAAATGCGCACAACATTAGCGTCATCAATGAAGAGAACCAGGACTATTTTACGCTCGAGAAGCACGACAAGGAGTTGGGCGAAACCGACGACACGCCCGAAGCGAACCCCGACATCACTCCACGCGGGCTTTCACACCATTCCAATGCCTCGCAACTGCATCCCGAAGGCTTTTACATGTCACCACCAGCTCCGAACCCGGGATCCTCAAATGCATCACTGATTCGGCGTCACTCTGCAGAAGACAAGTGGCGATCCGGCCGCGTCATGAATGATCCTAAAGAAGTCCCAGCCGCGAAGCGTCCGCTTTTGCCCGCAAGGAGTATCACCTACCACGAGCCTCGATTGCACAAGCACGTGCTCTTGTCCCCCATGTCGCGAGATCGGCTCGGAGAGGGAGAGAACTCCGACTATTTCGCAGATGTCAATGGAAGTGGTAACGCTTCTTCACCATCCACCACACCGGGGTCCACTGTGAGCCTGGAGGGGGGTGAAGGAACGATTCTCAAGAACGTTGTCCACCCTGCCCGACCTCCGGGCGCGCCAGCTCCTCGCAAGCGAATGCAGATTCTCTCGGTTGAGGACAATCCGATCAACCGCAATGTGATTGCAGCCTTCCTTGAGAAAATTGTGAGTGGTATCTACCCTAGCCGAAGCGTGCGCGCAGCACCACTTATGCATCCATTTCTTCGTCTTAGAATGTCGATTATGCCGAGGCTGTCAATGGAGAAGAAGGTGTCAAGATATTCGAGGCTCATCCGCCGAATCATTTCGAGTGAGTGACGCATTGCCCTTCTCACTTGACCAGACCGTATGACACCGTTTCCTTTCAGTGTCATCCTCATGGACCTCTCGATGCCTGTGCTCGACGGAATCGGCGCCACAGCTGCGATTCGCCGAGTTGAAGCCGAGCGGTACACCGCGTCTTTGGCCGCCAGTGCCAACTCGAACACTTCCTCTTCATCGTCCACAGGTGCATCCAGTCGCGTTCGACCAATATTGCGTCACCAGAGCCCTCGAAGCCGCGTCAAGATATTTGCCTTGACGGGTCGATCATCGGATGAGGACAAGCGTATGGCTTTCGCTACTGGTGCCGATGGCTACATTGTTAAGCCGCTGAGTTTCAAAGTGTGAGTGACCGAATGCTGGGCCGGTCCTGATACCTCTCTCGTGCTGACATCCACTTCCACATTTCATTCCCTGATTAGACTTTCGTCGTTGCTCAAAATGCTCTCGCAGTAAATCGAATGGCATTTACACTGTTCTTCTACTTTAGCGCATGCCATGTCACGCAACAGCGCACCGCTCGCGCCCAGTATTGGCATATTTTGTGTACCGTCGACATTTGCCCCCATTTGACTGCTTACTAGCGGCCGCAGTTTCATGCATATCAGGCTAGCTTGCAATTTATATTTAGAGAGCGTTGATCGATTGATGTGTGGCGCTGTGACGATGTGTTCTAGGCTCTAGCCTGCAACTTCTGATGCATCCTTCACACAAAGCCATCGCTGACCTCGCCAGCGCTGCTCGTAGCCTGATGGGAGGGCCGCCCATCTTCGGAGACATTGCCGTCTTCGTCAGCGACCTCGGCCAGCACGTCGATTTCGTCGCGTCCTGCGCTATTATGCCCGGAGACACTGCCGAGGAAAAGGCGTTCAGGGCTGGCAGCGGTTATCATCCTGCGTTTCTCCTGTCGGCGGACCTGGGTCACATCCTGTTGCCTCCTTGATGCTGAGGCGATGTCGCCTTGGACTCTGTCAGGCGCTGTGACAAGTGGCAGCGCTTCGACTCCCGGGAAGACTTGGTTCTGGAACACCGCGCTCGAAAAAAAGGACAGAAGATCCGGGTTGATGTGATGTTCATGCATGTCGGCCCCGCCTCCCGTTCTCTGATGCCCGGTGTCATCGTCTGTCAGTTGATCATGGACTTGAAGAGGCAAATCCGCTGCGATACACTCCTCGACGAAGATTGCTGACGTGGTGAACAAAGGCGAAGTCAGAAGCTTGTCAACGCGTCTTTCCCGGAGAAAAGTTCCCATACGGGGCAGGACGTACCCAGCGCGACCAGTGCACTACCATCCAGTGTGCGGTTCATATTCACGCTTTGAGTTTTACCGGTCCCAAAAGACGAGTGGAGCGAAGCAGCAGTAGCAGCCAAAGGCAAGTCTTCGATATCGTCGTAGTCCTCGTGTGGGTGCATAAGCACTCGAGCTTCCGACATCTGTTCTGCTATAGGTTGAGAGGAACGGGGGGGCGAAAGATGGGCGTGGCTCACTACTGCTTTTGGCCGGCCGCGAGCTTGGTTCGCATGCTGCATGGTCCGCAGGAGTTCTTCTCTGCTGCGCTGCCATCCTGCAGCGCGTCTCGATCGATGCGCTTGCAGCGCTTGTAGCTCCTGAAGCTGGTTTTCCTCGTCCTCCTCAGGCAGAAAACCGCCTTCGCTTGCGTCGTCATCCGAATTTTCGTTTTCCACACCGCCTGGATCTGTATCGCCTGCTTGAAGGCTTCCGCGTCGTATAGAAACCCGACCTTGCGCTCTACTGCTTCTGTACGCATGTACGCGCCCATCGATCCGCTGTAATTTGCGTTTTGCTCTGGTGGCTGCCTCGAGCGCTCGTATGTACTCGCTCCAAGGGTCACCTTCGACGAGGTCCGTGTCGTCATCGCATTCTGAGCCAATGGATCCATAATCGGAGACGTCTGACGAGGAAGAGTTAAATTCAGGTTGCTCTTCACACTCTTTGGCTGTATCTGGTTGACTTCCACCAGGCACAGCCTCGGCATCTGAAACGCCATTGCGATCACTGTCTCTCGCACCACCGACTTGGTTTCTCTCGACCCTCCACTCATCAAAGCTCTCGGCCGTCTTTCCAGCCGCTGCGTTTCCTTCAACTACAATCGCCTTCTTCTGCCTCCGCTTGCGAGTCTGCATTTTTTGCCTTTTTTGCTTGGGCTTGCGCTTTTGAGCCTTGCGATCACTTGGCAGAGGATGAGGCTGCGAACGTAGACTGTCCGTCTCTGACAGGAATCCGGCAGCGGCGTACAGCTGCGCTGCGTACGCGTGTATGCTCTTCATCAGATCCTGTGTGTATGTTTGTACGATAATAGGTCACATCAGTGGACAAGCAAACAAATGGTGATGACCGCTGTCTCAACGTCGCGGCTGCCCAAAAAAAACCTACAGAGTTGGGCATGAGGCACAAAATATCGGGCTCCAGTGCACGGTACAGGTACCGTGATTGAATTTCTTCGGCTGTCAATGACGCCATCCACCTTGGCACCGTTGTAGATGTAGATGCTGGTGATTGCACAGAGGTTGAAGCCGCAACCCCATTCTGCAACTGAGCTCCGGCAGAGGAGCTGCTCTCGGCTTGTTCAGAGCCCTCTTCATTTTGGTCTCCGCCAACCTGGGTATTGTCTCGTGTAGATTGCGAGAGCTCGTGCCTTCCACTTGAACCAGATTGCCTTCGCAGTTGGCGCGCCGTAAAAAACCAGAATGGATCCTCATTGTCGATCGGACGCAGGCTAGGCGGTGGTGCTTCGCCTTCTGCAGTGTTCGCTGGCGCTCTTCCATATGCGAAGGACGCATAGGAGTCAAACGGATCATCGTTGAGACGCAGGACGCGGCGCGACTTGATACTTTGGCCTGGCTTGCGTCCGCGCTTTTTCCTCTGTGACGGAGATGGCTCCTGCGCGGAGTACAGCGAATGCGGCTGCGACGCTGACGGCGATGGCGAGGTCCTTGCGGTGACAGGGTCAACAGCTCGCGCTTTCCCTTTACTTTTGTCTCGTGCAGGAGCAGGCATTGCGAGCCTCTTTTCTTTGTGACAATACCGGTGTGTAAGTCATAACATGTCAGCCCGTGCTGCTCTTACTCGATGTAAAGAAGAAAGAACGATGCGCGCAACTTGAGCGTTGAGCCCGCAGTTCCCGCCCCATGGCAGTCCGTAACACGCTCCGTCACCGATCGCCCATTCGAACGACAGCTCTGCTCGCCCGCCGGGGCGAAACGCGCACGCCAAGCTTCGTCACGACGTCGAGTATTCCCTCTTCTCGTGCATACGCTGCATCTGCCGAACCTTTCACCTAGGCGGTGACTCTAGTACCAAACATAATCAGTTACTGCCTTTCAAGTGGTCGAAGTTCGTGTTCAGCATGTTACTCTCACTGTTGCTTATGTAAACAGGTTTTTTGGTACGCTTGAATTGGAAGTTGACCGCTGTCCGTCATACGCTTCCTTTGGCCATCGCATTCTAGCAACCCTCATCATGTAATGTTTACTGGAGGTTGACGATTATTGCCAACTAGATACTACTCCCCACCTCATCCGATCGCTTTTCATCTCCTTTATTCAATCAGCTTTCTGATAACAAGTCATATTCATGACTAGCTTGCATCTACATGGACCCGGTGGCAACCATACCGCAGCTGAACTGGCTCACCACCTTTTTGGCACCTTGTCAGTCCCCTTTTACACAGACGGAAACTGTGTGCAGGTCCTTAGTGAAGCCATTTCTATAGCGATCGCCGCGCCGTCCTCGAAACTGATGCCACCGTCAGCACAGATCCCTGTCTGACCAAAAGGACAGAACTTCAGGTTATGTGGATCCTCCATCAGGATGCATCACCCTGCTACGCGGTCTGTCGAACCCATTCCTTTCTGGAGAGTATCAATGAATTTACTCGATATGGTGGTGCTCCACGGTCCAGAGAGCCTCTTCGAGGAAGATATGGTCCGGTTTCTTGGCCGATACCACATGGCAGCTAGTTTGCAAAGGTGTGCGAGTGCGCGCGGGAGGGGCTTTCAGTCCCATGATGCGATGTGCCGAACGGAGCGCACTAAGTCGTTGCAAGCCGAAGCAACGGATGCCTTGAAACCGGCAACTAGGAAGAATAGTCGATAGACCTGCAGCTTCGATTCGAAATCGACACGTTGAGGTTCGTCGTCGGCCTCGAGGAGAGAATGGCTCTGACCCTTTTAGATGCTGCGAGCTTGATGCAGGCGCGTCTTAGCGCTCAGGCTGTCTCATATCAGGACCCTCCATCTCAAAACCCCTCAAGTTCGGATATCGAAGATACCATGCGAACCTTGCTGACTCTGGCCATGGCTCAAGCGAACAAGATCTCCGGCACGCGCAAGATGCGCTGCGATCGGTGTCCCACAACGAGAAGGCGGATATGATCTTGTCGTGAATTCGTAATTTTGATCGACGCCACAGCTGTCTTGTTGGAGAACTGGACCTCGTTTAAGCTTGGCATGGGGTGGGATCCGCACTTTGGTCGATAAGGGATTGAATTGGCCTTGAGACCAAACTGGTCGCGGGGCGACTTCTCTTCTCTCTGAAGTGCTACATCATTGTTGAGCTGGTAGAACCAATTGCTTACGTAAACAACATATCGGTGCAACATGGGCTTGAAGATCGAGTCGTCCGCCACACAGCCGAAGAGTCTGAGGCTCCGCAACTGCAAAGCCAAGTCTGCAACAGTTTCTCTCATCATAGCTTCAGGAGGGAGTGTCGGGTATGTATTGGTTGGCTCGGGAGCTTGCAGGCTGCACTTTGTCAAAGGTCACGGAGGCAGCATGCCCGGTCCAGTACGCTGAGCTCTTGCTTCTTCCGAGACGGTCACGGCTGCCAAGGAAGCTCTAGAGAAGGAGAGCCGACGTGTCCTGTTCCTGACTCGATCTGTATCTTGCAGGAAAATCAGTCAAACACCGCGCGGTGTGTGACGTCCAGTTTTCCTGATCGGAGACCACCGATTCGACAGTATGGCGCCGTCGGCAGTGTTTCCAGCAGCAGCACCGAGTGATGCACGAGCAAAGACGTGTGTATGGGCTAAGAGACTCATTCCATTCGACGGTTCGCTTGCACTCAGTGAACTGATGCGCAACCAACCTGCCCGCCTGCTTACAGTGTCATCCTCACCGACGCAGGCAAGGCGACATGGTATGACTCGTCAGGCAAAGTTCTCGATGCCGTAAGTACCAAGAATGGAAAAGCAGTAGAGCGCAGTGGTCGATTTGACAACAATACACCCGATCCACATCTGCTCATATACTGTTCCCGGCCATTGCGACGTGGCGGAAAAGTATATCGTCGGCATAGCTGGTGGCTCTGCGTCCGGTAAGACCAGTGTTGCGCGTGCCATCACAAAGTCACTTCCAAATGTCCCATGGCAAACGATCTTGTCTGTGGACTCATTCTACAAACCACTGACACCTGCACAATCAAAGCTGGCCTTTGAGAATGGTTACGACTTCGACCATCCAAATGCATTCGACTACGAGCTCCTGCTTCAGTGCATTTCCGACCTCAAAGCTGGTCGTGCGGTGGAGATCCCAAACTATAGCTTTGTCAAGCACAATCGCCTCGACGAGAAGACGTACTTATACGGTGCAAATGTAATCCTCCTCGAAGGACTCTTCGTCCTCCAAGACCCTGCCATTCGCGCCTTGCTCGATCTCAAGGTCTTCGTGCAGGCAGACTCGGATTTGATGCTCGCCCGGCGGATTCAGAGGGACGTAAAAGAAAGGGGCAGGGATGTAGAAGGTATTTTGGAGCAGTACCTTCGCTTTGTGAAACCAAGCATGGACAACTTTGTCAGCACCACGATGAAGTATGCAGACATCATCGTTCCTGTGAGTCTGCAGCAGCCATCTTCATCCCTTCATCAGCTACCCCCTCTCAGTCATATGCACCGGACTGAGACTGAACAGAAGATCTGTTTTCGTTTAGGGTGCGAAAAATGAGGTAGCAATTCAAGTCATCTCGCAGCATATTCAGCAGCGACTCGCAAGCAGCTCCAAGCGAATTCGCTCCGAGCTCTCACAGGCCAGGCCACCCACATCCGCAGCAAGCAATACTACGGTAGGCGTGGATAGCGTATGTTCTATTTCGTCGGCTTCTCTGCCGCCCACACCGGGAGTGAGCGGCCTGCAGGGTTTCAGCATCTCGCCATGGGGGAGTAGCAGTACGCTGTCGATGGCGATGCAGCGCTCCAGTACAGGCGCTCCGAGCATGGCTCTCGACGATTGTCCTCATTCATCTCCCATGCTCACACGTCAGTTGTCCTGTACTTCGTCGTCGTTTCTACTTGACACCGCCCTCACGACGCCAACCATATCCGGTGACCCTGTTGCTGCTGCTGCCGCTGCCATTGCTGCAGCCGCTGAGGCCGCCGCGCATCTCAGTCTGCCGACAACCGTTCATCTCCTTCCGCAAACTTCGCAATTACGTGCACTGCTCACGATTCTGCACGATGTCGAGAGCGAAGGCGAGGAGTTCATTTTCCATGTCAACCGCCTCGCCACTCTTGTCGTGGAAGCTGCCATGAGCTTGCTGCCCTATCGATCAAAAACTGTCAACGTCGTTACGGGCGCAAGCTACCAAGGAAGGGAGATCGACGTGAAAAATGTTTGCTCGGTCTCTATCTTAAGGAGTGGGGGTGTTTTCGAGACTGTGAGTTGGTTGGCTGCAGGTTCCCTTACTTGCTAGACTGCCTCTTGTAATTTTGTCTGACAGTCTCGCTGACGACTACGTTCACATACAGTCCCTGCGCAGAGCAATACCAGACCTCGCGCTGGGTTCCCTGCTCATTCAAAGTGCAGATGACGGAGAGCCATATCTGTGAGTTAATCGAATATAAGCACTGGCTCCTTTTGGGTGCTTCAGCTTGCGTCGTGCAAAAAAGCCTAACATCTCTCCTATTCACCACGACTGTGCAGTTACTCCGTTCGCCTCCCGTCGTTCCTCCGCCAGCGAAGCACGGCTCCCACCACCTTCGTCTTTTTGGCTGACGCACAAATCGGCACGGGTGCGGCAGCATTCATGGCGATCCGCGTCCTGCTCGACCACGGCGTACCGCAGGAACGCATCGTCTTCATTGCGCTGCTCGCAAGCGCTAAGGGAGGCGTACACGCGCTCGCCAAGGCTTTCCCCAACGTCAAAGTCGTCGTCGCTGGCGTCGATCCTGGATTGAGACGGACAAGAGTGCCAGTGCAGCGCGCTGCAACTGGCAGTGCGCCTGCTGCCTCCGGTGGCGCAGGCGACACTGGCCGGCTGCGTGACGTCGGTCTTCAAGCGCAAGTGAATATGGCCTCTCAAAGCGACGTCCCTATTTCCGACATCGCCTCATTGTCAACACTGGATCTTGGCAGTCTCCACCTGCAGGAGGGTGAGCAGCGCGTCAGCAAGGCGAACCACGCAGGGCAAGGTCAAGCGCCGTCAGAATCAGATCCTGCAGAACCGGACGACGGCCAGCGGACGCGCGTGTGCTGGGCTTTGCTTCCAGGTGCAGGGTAAGTTCGACTCATTTCAGAAGGGAGCCTTTCTGAAGCGCTGACCCAGCCGAATTGCACTTTGTTCCTCGACCTTGCGAACAGGAACGTCGGCAATCGATATTGGCGCACATGAGAGCACATTTCGTAGAACCCAACGCGTACGGATGAGGTGGATGATCAATCACTACATGTTGATGGAGTGGAGCATGCAATCTGCCTGTAGCCAAGAAATTCCTCGTGATAATACAATTGCCTCGCGGCTCGCAGAGCGGTCCCTTCTCTGCCTTCCTCGCTCCCCTTGCTCTTTCTCTCTCCGTTCAGCTCTGCCTACTGTCTCCATGCTGTTGGCCAAAGTTTAGAACGGCCTGAGGAGACATTCCGCAATAATGGTGCTCGCTTCCCACGGCGATACGAGCTAAAGCCGTCACTTTCCTCGGCGCGCCGGCCAGGAACATGTTCAATACGATCCGGGGCCGCGTGCAGGGGTTTGAGAGTGCATTATACTAGAGATGATGTGCAACGCGGGGCAAACATGCGCTATTAGCATTGTGAGAACAAGGGGTGAAACCCTGGCATCTTCACTCCTCCCAATGGAGCTACGTCTGTAGTGAAACGGTCACGCTCACCTTCTCCGCTTGTTCTTCGCCATCTCCTTCTTGAGCGCTGCCCCGTCCAGCGGCTTGAGCAGCTCGAATGCACACAGAAGGTCCTCCGAGACGCTCATGACAGCCCCAAAGTTGTCGAATTCTGCGCACGCAAAGGGGAAGGAGAAATGGGATCAGCCAGGCCTCCGTTATTGCCCGCCCACAAGGTCTCAGGAGCCGCCGACGCACCTCCGCAGTAATTCGGCGCGCTGAAGATAGTGACGAGCGTTCGTTCATTCCAGAACTCGTAGCCGTCCTCAACGACCATGTGCGCGCGGCAGATGAGGTCAAAGTCGTACTGGCCGAGGAACTGCTGGATGACGGCTTTTCCAAAGCAGTAGCTGACGCCGCGCTCATTGTCCTCCCAGTCGAGCGCCGTATCGCTCGGGTCGCTCCACAGCAGGTCGTTCAGCAGGCCGTAGTCGGGCACGTCGGTTGGGCGCTCGATGCGCCGGATGTCGTCCATGTTGGACAGCGACGGCGACAGGCCGCCGTGCACGCAGAAAATCTTCGACGCGACAACCGCGGCGATGGGCAGCGTGTTAAACACGTCGATGAATGTCTTCCAGATTTTGATGTTGACGCGCCGCTTGCATTCGTCGTAGAAGCCGTAGACTGGGTAGTTGCAGAAAAGGGGTGGGAAGCATGGAAAGTCAGCAACGCGTAGCCTCTAGGACGACCAAACCCGGCTAACTCGGACGTCCCCAACCAAGCCAGAGAAGGATGACTCACCGCGCGTGACGTTGGCGCATTCGTGGTTGCCTCGGAGGAGGAAGAAGTTTTCAGGGTACTTGATCTTGTAGCAAAGCAGCAAGAGGATTGTCTCGAGGCTCTGCTTGCCGCGATCGACGTAGTCTCCGAGAAAGAGATAGTTGGCTTGCGGCGGAAAGCCGCACATCTCAAACAGGCGCAGCAGATCCTGGTACTGCCCGTGTGTGTCGCCGACGATCTTGACCGGCGGGCTGAGCTCGATGAGCGTCGGTTGCGACAGGAACACTTCGCGCGCCGCCTGGCACACCGCAGTAATCTCGGCGTTCTTGAGAGCGGGCTTGGGGATCTTGCTCGCATAGCCCGCCTCGATCAGGCGCGAGATCATGTCGTCAATGTCAAACGTGCGCACCGGTTCGCTCCCTGCGCCACCTAATGGCATTGTCGGGCTCGCCGAGCTGCTCGGCCCGCCGCGCCCGAACGCCGTATTGGCGAGGATGGTCTGTGTTGTGGGGATGCCGCCGCCGCCGGTCGCGAAGCTGTTAATCGCGTTGGCTGAGCTGGGCGGCATTGGCGAGCTGGATTGGCCGTCGGCCATATGTGGATCGCGCGAGGGCATGTGCGGCGGCATGGGCGACAGGTTGCCGTTGGGCCATGTCCGCTCCAACCCTGCTCCTGCTGTTCCCGCCCCTGTTCCTGCACTAAAGCTATCCGACCTGCTGAGCATCACATCTGCCGGCGAGCCCGACGGCGATGGCAGCGGTGACTCGTGCCTGCTCAGGCCGCCTTTCCGCTCGATCTTGGCCGGCTGACTCCTGCCCTGATGGCCGTTCTCCCCGTCACTGCTGGGCCGCCCTGACCCGCCGGCTGCGCCACGCGAAAACCCTGCGTCGGTGCCGTTCGCCGCATCCCCACCCGCGGTGCCGGTCCGGTCTTTGCTCTTGGCACGTGTTATTGCCAACGCCTGCGGCGACGAGTGATCGCTGTGCGCGCGGTCGAGGTCGTCTGCGCCGACGTCGGCGCTGTCGGAGGCGTCCTGCAGCTTTGATTTGCCCTTTTTGGAGGAGCCGCCCATCATCTTTCCAAGTGATTTAAACATGCTGGGCAATAGGTTCCCCTGCGTTGCCGTCTGTGGCCCCGGCTAAAGGCTGGGGCCCGCTTGTGTGCAAGGACCGATTGCTGTCGCGTTGAGGCAGGCAGACGTCGTCGTGACCTGGTTGCCGTCGCGCGGTTGTATGCGCTCGGCGTGCACAGAGAAGGCCTGGATGGAGGTCGCAAGGGGGCTATTCCCTTGCCGCAGCTCGATGGCCTGTCGGGATGGGAAGAACCTGCTGCGAGGTAGAAGGCTCGGGAACCTGCAAAAAGCGTCTCCCAAGTCGAACACGCAAGGTGTGATGGTGCAGGAGGCAGAAGCTCCTGTCCGTGCCCTCGTTCCTTTTATCGGGTTTGGTTTCGGTTTTGGCGACGTGGTGCCTCTCGTAGACGGGTTGTACGCAATGTCGGCACTGGCTGGGATGGAGCTGACTAGACGATTGCTGCAGTTCGTTTGTGCTGCGCCGATGGATGTCGACTCGCTCGTCTGTGCGTCCGGTGTACTAGAACCCTTTATCTTCCGACTGGTGTCTGGTCTATGGCTACTTCTGTATTAGCTAGCTCCAATAACAAAAGCGCTACAGCGGCGGCTGACTGTGACTCTCCACTATTGTGACCCGGCCAGCAGCTTCGACCCGCGCCTGTCTCACACACACCCACAACTTTTGGACGTGGAAATGGACTTGGGCAGCGCCAGCCAGCAAACAAAGGAAGCAAAGCAACCGACCCACCAACCAACCACGCAAGCACGCGGTTGGTTCCTCTCAAAGAAAAGGCGAGTGCGTGAGTATGTGTGTATGAACAGTCCAAGGAAAGACCTGTGGACACGAAAAGGCTGTCCCAGCAAGGAGGTGCCCGTGCCCACCCCTCCTTGCAAAGAAAGGATGTTGCTTTTCTATACTGCGCTTGCTCTCAACGGTGGTTGTGAGTGCGTTGGCTCTTGCAACCCCGTCGATGGCTGTCTTAGTGGCGCAGTGCCCCACTCTGCCTTTCGCGCGCGCGCGCCCATGGGGACCATGCTGTGCTGCCTGATGCCCCCCACGTCCCGCCAGCCACTGACGACTGACAACAGGAGGACAGCTGTCCCAGTGCCTGCACCCAGTTCTAGTGGCCGTCGGGTGGGACTGCGGCCTGCTGCTGCACTGTACTGCTCCGCTGCCACAGCCCAGCACGGAATGAGCGCGCAAAGGGTGGCCTCTACCCGGCCACAAGAGAAAAAGCACTCGTTTTAAATCCCGATCGCGAACGCACCACGTCACAGTGTCAGCTCGAACGCTAATGCGTTGAACTAGTATCTACACACAACTCAGGACTGGACAAGCATCGAAGCAAGGTCATACCAAGGGAAAAGTCGGACGTGCTGCTCCCGGCCATCCCCCATTCGGCGGCAGCGCTGCTGCGCTATGCCATGCAATACTTTGCAATGCTGAGAGCGATACACTACGCTACAACCGAATTTCAAACCGAAGACCGACAAGCGCCGATCCTACGACCGCTACTTTGGCTCTCTCCTCTCCTTCTCCCAACTGCCCTCTTTCTCCTCCTATGTACCAGCTCACTGCGCACCTCCCATCCCTTCTCCTTCTCCTCCTCCGCCTCCTTTGAGCAAAGCCATTATGTTCGCACCCGTCATTCCAGGAGGGAGGTCCATCCCAAGCGGCGGAGGCGCCATGCGCTGCTGGTGGTGCTGGTGCTGCATGCCGTGCTCGTACGCCTGATACGGCACCTGCTGCTGCTGATGCGAAGGTGCATCACCACTGCCGCCTCTGTACCCAGCACCTCCGTACTGCTGCTGCAACATCGCTTGCAGATACAAGCTGGCCGGGGCGCCTACCGAGGAACTACCAACACCGTCACCAGTGCCTCCCCCGCCGCCAATACCTTGTGATCCGGGGCTAAGCCCTAGCGGCAAGCCCGGATGGCCGCCGCCCCCACCGTGCTGGTGATGATGCGGCGGCAGGTGATGCTGGTGCGTGAAACCGGGAGGCAGGGGCTGCATGGTGCCGGCACGCTGTTGTCCGCCCTGCGCAGCCCCTGGCGACTGTTCACGCAGCTGAGCAAGAATCGGCGATAGCGAAGGCGGCAAAGCATTGTTGCTATCAGAAGAAGTCTGCTGCTGCGGCTGCGATCCGGCAGAGCGCCGCTCCCCGCCGCCAATGTGCCGTGCAGACTCATGAAGGGGTAGCCCAGAGGGCCCGACGCGTTGCTGTTGTTGTAGTTGTTGTTGTTGAGCGGAGAGAACCTGGTGCTGGACGTATGGCGGAAGGCCGTACAGCTGCTGCTGGAGATGAGGCGGCAGGCCGACCAGAGGAGGCAGGCCTCCTCCACCCACACCGTTGCCGCCACGAGAGCTGCTGCGCTCGCCGGCAGCACTGCCCTGGGCTTCTGGGTGTCCGTGCAGCTCAGGTGGCGCGACAGGCGAGGTCGGCATGCCCGCACTGGGAAGCGCGGCGAATGCGGGCGGCAGCCGTACTTGCTGTTGCTGCTGCTGGGACGGCGGACCAGTCATGAAAGGTGGCAGCGGTGGCATGCCAGGCGCCATGCCGGGGTGTCCCGCAAAAGGGCGTGGAGGCGAGCTTCCGGGCGGAGGCACTCCTGACAAGCTCATGTGCTGGTGCTGGTGCAGGTGGGCAGCGTGGCCATCCTGCTGCTGAAGTTGGCCCACAATGTGGGAGCTTCTCTGGCCCAGGTGCGCGTGCGGAGGGGAACGCTGAGGCGGCTGTCCACCTCCGAGGAGGACCTGCAGGTCGGCTGACCGTGGTGGTCCGCCTGTGCCGCCCATCTCGCTTTGGCTCATCATTGGCGAGGGAACCATGTGCCTCACTTGATCGTGCGGTTCTGGTCGCGCCTGCTGCTGTTGCTGCTCTCCGGGCGACAAAGCACTGGGCGCAATGCCCGATTGAAGCATCGCAAGCAGCTTTTGCATGCTGGCTTGTTCAGCGCTTTGTGCTTGTGACTCTTGCTTGAGGGCCACCGATTCCGTCGCGTCTCCACCGCCTGATAGCGAAGCCCCTCCAAAGAGGGAGGACAGGTCAACCCCGGCCCCGGCTCCGGCAGCAAGCTGCCCATTCGTGGAGGAGCTGTTGGTCGCTCCGGAAGCTCCGCCGCCTGCTCCTGCTGCGGCCCCTTCCATAGCTTTCTGCTGCGCGACAAGTGCTGCGCTCTGTGGGTCGCGAGCCTTGGAATCGAAGAAGCGTGCAAAGCGAGAGGAACGACCGCCTTGCTGTTGCAGTTGCAACTGAGGGGCTCCTTCTGTGATGGGATTGGCTGCGGATGTTTCGTTCGCAGAGCTGCCTCCCAATCCGGGTGGGGGAGCGTTTCTTGCCCGTGAAGGAGAAGCCGGGCTTGACGATGCCGCCGCTGCAGTTGCTCCGAACGAGTCATCGCCTTGTTCCTTGGTAGCCAGAGGTGAGGCTGATTTCGTCGGCGATAGTAGCGACGTAGGCACGGCGCTGGTGGCAAGGTCTGCGGGTGCTCCGAGCCCCGGTGGTGGTCTTGTCGCCTTCTTGGCACCAGCCTTAGCCTCCCTCTCCAGTCGCTCCTTCTCCTTCATCTGCGCCTTGAACGCCTGGATGCTGTCTACGTGGTTGCCGGTAACGGGTGGGAGATCGAATACCTCCTCCTCTCTTGTTTGTCTGTCTCGTCGTTGCGGAGCACGTCTGGAAAGAGGCTGTTCATCATCGTCATCACCACCCATCCACGCTGGCTGGCGTGACGAAGAAGCACCCCTGATCTCCTCCATCCACGCAGGCGCTCGTCTGCGTTCGCTTCCCTCATTCCTGTCGCGTGTATTGCCTCCCACTCCTCCTCCGTCGCGGGCATAGCGCATGCCATCACGTAGAGCAGATGCTTGGCCTGGTCTGCGCCAGTCCGCAGCAGTGTCTGCGTAGCCGGACCGAACGCCCACGTTGTTGGACCGCCGATCCAGAGCATCGCCCGCCCCACTATCCTCATCATCTCCTTCATCTATACCAGCGCCAGGGATGCGCCGCCCGGTCACGGGATCGCGTCGCTGCTGGTCGTTGACGCCGAGTCCGATCCGCCCGCGATTCGAGGGCATGATGCGCTCGCTGCCCATGCGAAACTACAGTGGTACGAAGCATGTCAGGGTGTCAGATATGGGCTTTCCTCCATAAGATGTTTGCACTCGCATGACGCACTTGCTTCTCGGAAGGACTGTCAGGCCCACCAGCAGGCCTGAACGTACCGCTAGCCGAGATTTGCCCGAATGGATTCTTGCCAGAGGAGGTAACGTTCTTGCGCGAATCTGAAATTCACAGCACATGGTTCGTGAAGGGAGTCAGCATGTATGTCAGTTCCACCGCCCAGAGCGCTGACGGTGACTGCGCACCATATCTCCCGTAGCTATGCCCTTCCTCGTCTTCAATGGGTTGCTGATCTCTTCTGCGGTGGCTTTCCCTGGCCCCATCTCCTCGACGGTTGCCATTGTTTCGTTCGAGGTCCGGTCCCTGACTGACACTATGCGCCTTTGCTCGATACGCCTTTGCATCTTCCTCCCTGTAGCAAGCAAATTGGAAATGTGAGAACAATTCTTGACGAGGTGCATCTGTTGTCATAGTTTTGCTACTTACCCATACCATGCCTTCAACGCAGGGAGCTTCTCTGGTTTGCATACGAGCTTGGAAGTGGACAAGGCGAGCAGCGTGCCTACCGAGTAGCAAATCTTTGCTTGTGAGCCGCGCAGAACATGCGTTTTCGCAATTGATGCGTCTACAGTAGAAGCGACATCCGCTTCTGATAGTGGACAACTTGAGGGCGTCTGGGAGCTCGGCTCCGACGATGACGAAGCAGCTAGTAGATGGAAGGCACCTAAGCTCGACAGCCCAGGTGGAGGACCGCCTGATGAAAAAGGCAGCGGGAAAAAAGCAAAGGTGGCAAATTAGCTGCCACTGCGTCTTCCTTGGATGCTTGCAACTCACGTGAGCCCATCGTAGAATGCGACTACCGCCTACTTGTTGGAATGGAAGCTTTTCCTGGATACTATGGGCTTCTTATGCGCTCGCTCATTCCCCCTTGTTGAGGTTCATGAGATGAAAAGTGTCAGATTGTGCTCTTGATGAGGGTGTTGTTTGGAAGTTGTCTGTAAAGGCGCTGCAATGTGAGCAGGTAGCGAATCCAGGAGTGCGTCCACACAGCTGCTGCTGCTGCTCCCGCTGCTCTCTGTTCTTCCAGTACCTCAAACCTTCCGCTTGGCCGCCTGTTGGAACGTCGACGTGCATGCACAAACTGGATGCAGCCTGAGGTTGCACAGGAGGAGGATGGCCTGAATCAGACGGACTTTGCTCCTTCCTGGATGTCTTTGCAATCTGCGTACGAGCACAAAGCTTGCGCGGATGACAAGCCAACTGCCAACAGTCAGCAGCAGCCTGAAGGCGGGCGGAGGGCGGAGGGCGGGTCAGCAGCGATGGAAAGAGGACGCACAAGCCAAATGAGAGCCCCAAACCCTAATTTTCATAAGAAAGTACAGTGCATATGATTCTGTCTGCGCCGCCGTCAAACAGAATCCAACGCGACGACGCGGCCTCTCTCCTCTCATCGTGAGGTCCCAAGGGCACGCATAACTGCAACATAAAGTCAAGAGCAACTTCCTTGAAGCAACAAGCGCTGCTGAGCGGCCTGTCCCATCAGCACCGAGTCAGTCGTGAAATTGCTGTACTTAACCGCTAACCCAGCAGATAACCCGAACAAAGCATGGCATCGCAAGGAACCGGCTACGACCTTTCGGCGTCGACCTACTCGCCAGACGGACGCATCTTCCAGGTTGAGTATGCGAACAAGGCAGTGGAGAATGCAGGCACAGCTATCGGGCTCAAGTGCAAGGATGGGGTCGTGCTGGCCGTCGAGAAGCTCGTGACGAGTAAACTGCTCGTACCGGGAAGCAACCGCAGGATCTTCAACGTCGATCTGCATGCTGGTTTGGTGAGTGGTCGCGGCGCATGTACTCCATGCAAAACAGGTCGCTCACACCGATGTACCATCTTATTTCCCTCACTACAGGCGGCAGCGGGTTTGATAGCAGACGGCAAGCACATGGCCAATCGGGCAAGAGAGGAAGCTCAAGCTTTCAGGGACACATACCGCTACGCATCGCCCATCAAGGTGCGCACGAGCTCACACCTCTGGGCACTACCGTCTTGACCGGGCATGCGTGCTGAACGTACTTCCTTTTCACTTTGCAGGCACTAGCATCCCGTCTGTCCCTCTACGCATCAGCATACACGCTCTACTCATCCGTACGGCCGTTTGGTATCTCCACCATCATTGGCGGCATCGATCAAGATACGAACGAGCCACAATTATTCATGATCGACCCTTCCGGTGTCTTTTGGGGCTACCACGGATGCGCTATCGGCAAGGGAAAACAGTTGGCCAAGACGGAGATTGAGAAGCTTGACTTGCCGAATCTGACCGTCAACGACGCTGTTCAGAAGGCTGCTGACATGTGAGCCTTCATCACATTCCTGGCTTTGAAGGATGAAACTAACACCGCAGTATTGCCTTCTTCGGGGTATCAACAGCATCTACAAGGTGCACGATGATGCCAAGGACAAGGACTTTGAGCTAGAAATTTCGTGGATCGGGCCAGAGAGCGGTGGAAAGCACCAGATGGTGCCTGCAGACATTATTGCAGTGAGTTTAGTCTCTACTATGCACGCGAGGTCAGTTGCAGAGGATATATATTAATCCCGCTTTGATGTCTGCATCTCTTCGCATGTTCAGGAAGCCGGGAGGAAAGCCAAAGAAGCGCTGGATGACGACATGGAAGATTGATTATCTTTCAGTAATACCAGAATATTCTGTTCTATCATTGAGACGCGAAGCAGGATATACATATGCACAACAGATGCGCATCACAACAGAGAAGCTCAGCATGCTCTCTTCGGCTAAATGACTCTTTGACCGGTTCATTGCGATTGAACGTGCGGCCGAGCGCGTTGGATACATTCCCGTGCGGGCTGAACAAGTGCTTTGCTCAAGATCTGATAATCTGCTATTGTATGCCCATCGCCGTCGGTTTCCTGCGGGCTAATGAGATCAGGAGTATAGCTGAAAAGAGAGCAATCACATTGTTATAAGCGCGCAATGAAAGAGCCGTGCGCAGCGCTACCGAATGACTTCCTTCGTTGGGGCCACAGTTCAGAAACTCACCCTTGCGCTCGGTAGAACTCCAGCGCTGACCGATTGTGCAGAAACGCAGTCAGCATGACTTTCTTCATCCTGCTCGCTTTGGCTATGTCTTCCAGGCAGCCGAGCAAAAATTGCCCCACGCCTTTGCCTCTGTATGGAGGAGCGACTTGTAATTCGTAGCTGCGGGTCAGATGGACAGCACAAAGCTCAATCGCCTTCGTCTCTTTCGTACCGACGGAGCGCGTCACAGACACACCAGTAGGCCAGCTCAATATCCTGCTCGTCTATCAGTCTCAGTGGATCGTCTTCGTCGCACTCCTCAAAATCTAACCTGAACATTGTATACCCCACTAATTCTCCCTTTCCGGCCGCCGAAACATTTGCTCCCTCCGACAGAGCATCTTCTGCGCGCGTTCGAACACTCGCACGTGCGAGTAGGAAGCGAGAAGGAGCCTCGCGCATCTCTTTGAGCTTTTCGCGCCTATTCCAGCCCTGCGCAGACTGATCGTATCTATTTGCCCCAGAGGGCATGGGTGAACGATAGAATAATAATCAGCCAATGTAAGGTTGCTCGTGTCTTTCGCGCGATAGCTGTGAACGTGACGCACAACGGTCGCATATTGAGCTCCAGGAGCTTCATGATCTCAGTCTCAAGGTCACGATTCAGCTCATGGGCAAAAGTGACCGAGACTTCGATTCTGAGAAAGAATGAAGGAGAAGCCGTATGAGACGTGTCCGAGATGGTCCGGCATGTCACACACGCACCCCCAATCATCAGTGAGCTTCAACGCGCTAATAGTCGCCACGCGTCCCTTGAAGTGTGAATGCAGTTCGTCCTTATTTTGCTGCGGGACAGCATAGCATCGTATTTCAGCCATATTGCAGTCGCATCCTCTGACCAGCCCTGTATGTGACGCCTCCACACCTGGCAAGCTTCATGCGCGACCAACTGCGCTCGTGTTCGTTGACCGCGCCTCATCTTGTAGATGGGGGACGGGCAGTCGGGTGCATGGATCCGGGGAATTCTGCTTCTTTGCTCGTGACTTTCGCTTCCAGTATTCGTTCGTCACTGTGCGCGCACTTGCATCTTCCGACGATGCTTTGTCGGTCGAAAGGGTTGATTATCTGATTTCTGGAGGGAATGATGCACATCGCCTGGCTCTACAATTGTCTAGTTCAACAAGTCAATATTTTCTCTTGTGATCAGGCCCATCTGGGAAATGTGTGTTCCGAATTCCGAGGGTTTTTCACCGCGAACAGCGAAAGCCATCAGCCATCCAAGGATGCGACATAACCCTCTCATACAGGTCATTGCTCAAAGCAGCACAACCAACCCACTCAGAAGCATATGTGCAAGAAGCACATTGGACGTGAGAACAAGAGGAGGTAGCCACAGCATATCTCAACTTGTATACATCCGAAACTGAACAACACACGCCATGGACGTCTTCCAGGCGCTGACCGGTGGTGGTGGCATCCGTTTCGACAAGAATCGCTTCGCTCGAGATGTCCAGCTCTTCCACCCTCATCTCGCCGATGCGTCAGCCTCCGGCTCGTCTCCCGCCGAATCCAGCAAACAAGCTTCTTCAGTGGGAGGCCAAAATGGGAAAGGCACGCAAGCTTCCATTGTAGTTCCGAAAGAGCTCGATTTCTTCGGTAGTGCTGCCAAGACCGGCAAACTTGAGGAGGACGGCACTTCAGACAAGGCAAAAGGCAAGCGCAAGCGAGTTGATGGCGGAGAAGATGCCGAAGAGGATGCCTCGGAAGGAACCGGAATTTCAGAAGGTCCAGTAACAAAGGAGACTTTGAGCACATTCCTCAAGGCAAATCGCATCCGGACGAAAGGCACCGACGTCCCTTTTCCGCTTGCTTCGTGGAGAGAGCTCGAGGAGCGATGGAAGGTACACAAGTACCTGGTTCGGAACCTGCATGGAACGGGATGGAAGACACCGACACCGATACAGAAGGGAGCGATGGGCGTCATGCTCGATAACCGTGACCTTCTTGCAGGAGCTCCGACGGGGTCGGGAAAGACGCTCGCGTTCCTGCTTCCCATCCTCTACCACCTCGGCGTACCGGCGGCGAAGAAGGAGGGCTTCCGAGCGGTGATTGTTTCGCCAACGCGTGAGCTCGCGCAACAGATCTACGAGCAGCTGCGGAAGCTGTGCCAAGGACGGAAATGGAGGATCTGCGTGCTGAACAACACGAGGGTTACGCAGGCTGAAGAGTCGGCGGACCCGATGACGCGCAAGAAGTACGATATCCTCATCACCACGCCACTGCGGCTCGTGCACGCTATCGAAAACAACGAGCTGGACCTATCGAATGTGCAGCATCTCGTGTTGGACGAGGCAGATCGCCTGCTGGAGCAGAACTTCCTCGCACAAACAGACAGCATCCTCGCGGCCTGCTCGCACCCCAAGCTTCGTAAGGCGCTCTTTTCCGCCACTCTGCCATCTGGCGTGGAGGAGATGGCGAACACGTTCATGGTTGATGAGTGCCGCGTCATTGTCGGCACGAAGGACGCTGCGAACGAGCGCATCGAGCAGAGCCTCGTCTTTGTCGGCTCCGAGGACGGCAAGCTGCACGCGCTGCGCTCGCTGATCCAGGAGGGCAAACTGAAACCGCCCGTACTGCTGTTCGTGCAGTCGATCGAGCGCGCCAAGGAGCTCTTCCATGAGCTCGTCTACGACGGCCTGCACGTCGACGTCATCCACTCGGAGCGCTCCAAGGTGCAGCGCGAAGGCGTGATCCAGGCGTTCAAGCGCGGAGACGTGTGGGTGCTCATTTGCACTGAGCTCATGGCGCGCGGTATCGACTTTAAAGGCGTCAGCCTCGTGCTCAACTATGACTTTCCGCAGACGGTGCAGAGTTATGTCCATCGGATCGGGCGTACGGGCAGAGCGGGCAAACAGGGCGAGGCTATCACGTTCTTCACCAAGGACGACGCTCCGTATCTAAAGACGTAAGTCATATTGCTCGATTGCATATCTGTTGTCCTGGTGGATCAGCAGACGCGCTGACTCTGTGCACCTGTCTCGTACTGCTCATTGCTCCTTTTCCAGCGTCGTCAACGTGATGCGCCAGTCTGGCTGCGATGTGCCGCAGTGGCTCCTGGAGCTCAAGAACCCGAGCCAGAACGCCAAGAAAAAGCTCAAGCGTGCGCCCATCGAGCGGAAAGATGTGCGTGTCGCCGCGGGCAGCATCGTCGGCCGCAAGGAGAGCATCAGGAAGCGAGAGATGAAGGAAGGTAGCAAGAGACGCAAACGCAAGGAGGATGCATCTAACAAGGCGGAAGCGAGGGGAACGGGGAAAGAACCGGCAACTGTTGTGTGACGGACCATAGACGCCGTCTCGAGAATTAAGTTCACTCGACGCATTCACGAGGCATCACCCTTCGTTCTGCGCTTCTTTGCCGCGCCACCTTTGTACGCAAGAAGCCTCTAGAACATCATCAACTCATTCTTGGCGATCTGCAACGGCGTGTCCAGCATGTATGATATTCGATGCGTTCGAAAAGGTTTACATGTGGGGCCTTCATGCACCGGCCGACTTCTTCCTGTGAATATATGGCGAAGAGATGCGCAGGCAAGTTTAAATGCAAATCAGCATGTGAAGCACACATCGGAGCACAAGAAATGGGATGGGTGAGCAACATGTGCCAAGAACGAAGGACTCACATCTGGAAGCGAGCAGCGATGAAGGGCAGTGAAAAGCCGCCGGCCAAGAAGAGGGTGAGGCAGACGGCGATCGGGACCTTGACGGATGGGCCCTGCTTGAATGGCACTGTGGGAGATAGCAGGGGTTGTGCGTGTGCAACTCGTCAGCCCACTCTTTGCCTTGCAGGAGATAGATCCGTGTGCCCAAAGTACTACTCACGAGACTGCTCGGGATGCAATCAGGATCAAAGTCGCAGAAAATGAGAGTGAGTGCGTCAGCTGCATGTGTTTCACGTAAAAGCCTGCGGGAAAATGCCTCCCAACTTTCCAGCCGACCTCTACATCAAGGTGCGTGCATCAGCCTCCCCCGCGCTGAGCCGTCTCCTTCCCTCGAGTAAATGCCATGTTCTTCGAGGCCTCCATCAAAACCAGCGCGCGCATGCCCCGCTCGCTCCTTGCTCGCCCGTCCCTTGTCGTATGCCACTCCGTCTGGAAGCCCTGCGACTCACCGTCTCAGCCGTGTTCTCGATGTGCATCGCACGCCTCGCCTGCATCTGCGGCTGGCGGAGGGCGCGAGCGGCGACGGGGACGGCCCGCCTGGAAGCAAGTGCGGCGATCATGCTGGCTGGAGTGGCTGTCCTGAGAATCGATCGCTGAATAGCCAGCTGTATGCGTGCGTGCGTACGTGAGCCTCTTTGCTAGCTTCCGTCCAGGATGAACGATGCACGAGTTGATACAGAGTCCCGTTCTGGTGATTGGGACGAGAGAGATCTGGCAGACGCTTGTGACTTGACTTGCTCATCTCATCGCGGGTGGCAGCGGAATGAGCAAGGGAGAGGACGGGATAACAACCGACGCTTTTGACTGGCCAGGTGCGTGCGACGCGCTGCGGCAGCGCACGACTCCAACACAGTTGCAAAATCGCCATTTTTTCCCTTTCAGAAAGAGAGAGCAGGAGCAGAGCGCACCCAACAGAGAGAGGGGGAGCACTCCAACGCGCGTTGTGTTGGTCGATGATACTCTCATCACCATCTCCTTCCATATGGCACGGGTGGTTAGCCCAGCTTCTTCCAGTTTGCAAGGTGCATTTACTTCGCACCAGCACTCTGCCCGCTCAACTTGTCGTGGCCCAGTTGTTCATCTTGCGCACAAGCACAAAGCCTCCGCCGCGCTTGGGTGTCACAGGTAAGTCGGGCGATTCATTGGCCAGGAAGGGTGCTTGAATCGTAACTTTTCTCACACCGCTCGAGCCGCCAATGTTTGCCGCTGCTGCACGCACGCAGGTTGTACAATTCTGCACTCCAGCTCTTGAGGACAATTTGACAATAACAAGACTCATACCGCCGACATGTCGTTCCGAGGCGCACCGGGACGCCAAGACTCCTACAAGAACAAGGCCCTCTTCAAGCAGGATGAACTGCGCCGGAGAAGGGAGGAGGCCCAGGTCGAGATTCGCCGGGCCAAAAGGGAAGAGTCGATGGCAAAGCGGAGGAACATGGACCTCAGCACTGTCGATACCGATGGAGAGACCGATGACGAAGATGCCGTGGGCGCGGCGCTTGACAGTCAGGTGCGTGTGAAACATTCCGAAGGATGCGCGTCCAAAGCCTCTACACTTGCTTCTTGCTCTTGCCACACGGTGGAAAGCTTTCGATGCAAGCTGAGTAAATGCTGACATGGACAATCCCCGGCCTCTCTTCGCTCTCATTATCGCAGCTCAACGAGCAGCTGCCCGTCATGATCGAAGGTGTCATGTCCACCGACGAGTCTGCCCAGCTCGACGCAACCACCAAATTCCGCAAGCTGCTGTCCAAAGAGAAGAACCCTCCTATTGAAAAGGTCATCGCGTGCGGCGTTGTCCCGAGATTCGTCGAATTCCTGCGCAGCCCACACAGCATGATCCAGTTCGAAGCGGCCTGGGCGCTGACCAACATAGCATCAGGCACCTCGGATCACACGCAGGTCGTCATCGAGTCGGGAGCAGTCCCTATCTTCATCGAGCTTCTCTCCTCCCAAGTCCTCGATGTGCGCGAACAGGCCGTCTGGGCATTGGGCAACATCGCCGGCGACAGCCCCAAGTGCCGTGACTACGTACTCAAGCAAGGTGCCCTGCCGCCGCTCATTGCGCTGCTCAGCGAGAACCACAAGATCAGCATGCTACGCAACGCGACCTGGACGCTGAGCAATTTCTGCCGGGGCAAGAACCCGCAACCGAGCTGGGAGCTGGTGTCGCCTGCGCTGTCCATCCTTACCAAGCTGATCTACTCGATGGACGAGGAGATCCTGATCGACGCCTGCTGGGCCATCTCCTACCTCTCCGACGGTCCGAACGAGAAGATCCAAGCGGTCATCGAGGCGGGCCTTTGCAGGCGCCTCGTCGACCTCCTCACCCATCATTCCACCGCTGTTCAGACCCCGGCGCTCCGCTCAGTCGGCAACATCGTCACGGGTGATGACTTGCAGACGCAGGTCGTCATCGCATCCGGCGCACTCGTTCCTCTGCTTTCCCTCCTCTCCTCGCACAAGGAGGGCATCAAGAAAGAGGCATGCTGGACCATCTCCAACATCACTGCCGGCTCGACACACCAGATCCAAGCCATTATCGATGCCAACATCATTCCACCGCTCATCGAGATCCTCAAGAGCGCTGACTACAAGACGCGCAAGGAGGCCTGCTGGGCCATATCCAATGCCACCTCGGGCGGCCTGCAGCAGCCATCGCAGATCCGCTACCTCGTCTCACAAGGGTGCATCAAGCCGCTGTGCGACCTGCTCGGCATGATGGACAACAAGATCATCCAGGTCGCCCTCGACGGCCTCGAGAACATCCTCAAGATTGGCGAGCAGGAGAAGAGCGCCGCTGGTCCGGGTGCCGTGAACCAGTACGCCATGCACATCGAAGAGTGCGGAGGCATGGTCGCCATCCACAACCTGCAACACCACGAGAACCTCGAGATCTACAAGAAGTGCTTCTTCATCATGGACACGTACTTCCCCGACGAGGACGACGCAGCCGAAGCGGCCACCATGCCGCCGGCCGTCAATGAGAGTGGCACATTTGCATTCAAGTCCGACCTCGCAGCACCCTCTGGCGGCTTCAACTTTGGGCCCGCTGCGAATGGCGGCGATGGGATGAACCAGTGAAGGAAGAGAAGCGCCACAAGGAAAACGAAGAACCTACAAATCCGTCGCGTCGCTTTCTCGTCTTGCTTGCTCGTCCGCCTGCCTCGCACATGTAACGCACTCTTTCTCTCACATTCCCTACCACGCCACTCTTCTCTTCGGCCAGGCTCCAACAGCCGCGGTCGAAGCAGCCTCGGCTATCCGTAATGCAGCAACTTTCGCACCTTTCGTTCCACTCGCTCGCAGGCGGGCGCCCATTTCCGCCTGTTACCGAGTTAGCGCCCGTCCGGGGCCTCGAGCCTCTCCACTTCCGCTTGTCGTATACTTCGCTCTGACACCCAGCAGTCTCGGCGCGTGGAGGCGAAGAGTGGAGAGAGGTCATGGATAGCAGTGGTCCGTTTGCTTCTTTCTTTCGCCGCACAACCACCAATTCACTTCTCCTACACGACACGCGAGTTCCACGCCAGCGTCCCTTGCTTCTCTCGTTACATTCAATCATTCACTCATTCGTCCCAACTCACCAAATCTGAACTCAGCATGTAGAAGGTCCATTCATGTCACAAAACTCCCCCGTCAAGGAGCATACCCATCCAACGCACGAACGAGCGAGCTTTATGCCCCCCTCAAGGGTCATATGCACTCAAGTAGTACTCTAGCATCATCAACAAGAATCATTTGCTGTATTGTGCCTGCGTTCGCGTCGGGTTGGGAGTTGCTTGCGGTGGCTATCACCGCAGACATGAACTATCGATAATTGGACAGTGGGCATGGATCATCGCTAGATGCATATCATGTTGCTGTTTTACAATCTCGACAAAGCGTGAGAGAAGACGGTAAGAGCCATCCAGAGAACAGGTTACTTCGGCCGCTTCATGTATGCTCAAAAGGCGGCATTCCCGGAGGGCGGTGGAGTGTGACCTACTTGACTGGTCTTTGGTACGAAAGGGCAGACATCTATGCAGAAGCCGGAGTCGCCTTCTTCGCAACGCCGGTCCTGAAGCCGTTCTTTGCCCGTCGCGGGACGTCCTTCATGTGGCGCATGCGACCAGTACCGGTACTAGTGAGACGAATTAACTTGGAATCAGTACAAAGACAGAAACAGTGGCAAATGCGGGAGAAAACTCACGTGTGCCTGCGAATGGCCTTCTTGCCCCACTGGTATGAGCGGGTCTTCGCGCGAGGGAAGCCGCACGAAGCGCAGCTCTTGTCCTGCTTGTGGAACGAGCGCCGGCCACAGCGACGGCACAGCGTGTGCGTCTTGGTGCTGAAAAGAGGAGCGGTAACGTCACGGGGATCAGCTACCAACATATTTAGTTAAGCTGACATCATGGCAGCGCCGTTTGACGTAGCCGCGCATCCCGTACCGCACAGCCTGCAAGAAATCTGCCGCGATGGGCAAACTGTTTGCCTAGCCAAGAATCTTCTCCATCAAAGGGCTCTCCGAAGCATGCCAGAGCGCACACTAGCCTTCCAAACCGCCACTTGTCCTGTTTCTGATATGCAAAGCTCCGCTCAATACTCACTGTCGCTTACCGAACGAAGTCGTACCCTTAGTCATCTTGCCTGTGGGTAGGCAACGAATCGAGTGAGTCAAGATATCTCTTAGTCTCCTAATGTTGCAACGAGACGCCAATCTGCCCCGAGGAGAGAATCCATGCCTGCTGGCTCTCTCCTGCACGTCGTCACATTTCGCCTGTCTTCGTTGTGCCGACCCACTCTCCATCGTCAGCGGCAAAAAAGATATTGCATCGACAGTACTGCAGCTTCCATTATGTGCTGCACGAGCTGTGGAGCACCCAACTACGCATCTCCTACATTGCGCCCAGGATTTAACGCCACACGCGACTGAAGGAGACCACGGATGTGTCCCTTCGTCATCCGGTGTGATAAAGCGCTGGGCTTCGTCGTTGACGCCTAGCTTCCATCTTCTTGGACATTCTTTTCTTCTCCTGAGGTGGTCTCATTTGCATGTGCGACCCCAAACACTATTGAAGCTGAAATCGTGACCTCCTCCCCTCCATGAACCTCCCGGTAGCCCTCGCGTGCCTCCCTAGTGCACGCAGGTTCCAGCTCCCTGCGTCTGAGTTGTATTCCGAGCAGATTGTGCGCCTCTTCAGCAGTAGCTCTTCAGCTTACCTTGACGATACTTGCGTGACCGACCTTTGGATGATCTAACAGATGGGTGCGCAAGAGCATGTGCGAAGAAGGCTCAAATGAATCACTTTTGGCAGCGAAAGCAGTGTGGTAGGCGTCTTGCGGCGGTTCGGGGGAACAGGCGCGGAGTGCTCACTACTGCCGTGCTGCGACACTGTGAGTGGGAAGGTGGGTGGGTGGAACGGCGGAGGAAGAAACCTCCACATAGTGTTCCGCAGCCACACCGCTGCGCCCACCATGTCGTTGCACACTTCCAGAATTGAAGCTGAAGCACATCTCGCCGTCAAGCTATAGAGGTCCAGAGGTCTACTGCTTGTCAAGGTTTTGTCGGGCACCATTGCATACAGTCATCAGTGAGTCATCATCGAGGATGCAACAGCTGCTGGCGGAGTTTGGGCTGGATAGGAGGTGGTAGGAAGCCAACTTGCGAAGGAACGAACGACCGGAGCGGACCTCGTGCTTTCGACGGAAGCCGAGCAGGATGGCACCCGCCTTTGCGAGAGCATCCCAACAGACACAGCTGCTCGTCGCGTACTGCGAGAATAATGCTATTTGAAGAGGCTGGCATTTGGCGGCATTCATATCAGCTCAGACTCTTCCAAAGTGTTTAGAAGTGTCAGATATGGGCCACTTCTGAGTGTGCCCATCTCCTGCATTTCAGCAAGTCGGGAAGGACTGCCTCTTTTTTGCAAAAGAGATGTGCGCTCAAAGGAAGCTTTCTGCAGGCATATGGTGCGCTGAGTTATGCATGGAAGCTAACATGATTTGATTTTTCAGCAATGCCGGCCGCATCGAACAAGGCGAAGAAGTCCTCTTCGCAGGACAACATCAACTCCAAGCTCCAGCTGGTCATGAAGTCCGGCAAGGTACAGCTTGGACTCAAGTCGGCTCTCAAGTCGATGCGCACCGGCAAAGCAAAGCTCATTCTCATCTCGGCCAACACTCCGCCTTTGCGCAAGAGTGAGATCGAGTACTACGCTATGCTTAGCAAGACCAGCGTGCACCACTACCAGGGCAGCAATGTTGCGCTCGGGACAGCGGCGGGAAAGCTTTTCCGTGTGGGGTGGGTATTTTTGTGATCAAATGCGACGTGCACAGCCGAAGGAAGGCAAGGAAGAACCTGGAGAAGAGGACAGGCCTCGAGTCTTGGGACGCTGCGCCATCGGGGCAAGGGGAAAAGCTGAGGCTCTTCGCAAACAGGAGTCAGCGCATCCCTTTGTGGACTGTGGTCGGATATCATGTGTTTCTTGCTCGCGTCGCGTGGCTGCGCCGCTTTGCCGTTCATCGCGCTCAATTGAAGCAATCAAGGGCGAGGCGGTTTGTGGCGCGAGATGCTGGCCGAAAGAAGATTGGAAACAGCTTTTCAAACACGCATGACGCAGCAGCTGACCATCTCATTCTTGTTTGCGACAGTGTCATGACTGTTCTCGACGCCGGTGACAGTGACCTTCTCAGCTCGGTCGCTGCATGAGTGCGGCAATGCCGATCGATATGTTCATCGCACCGCGAGCGCTCTGCACTTTCTCATGTCTACTGTAGATCTGGGTCTAGGCGGATCTGCTCCACACGGAGGCCCTGATGCCTTCTGCTAGGGACGCGCTTGTCCTTCACCACCGCATGCACTTCCTCCCTTAGGCATGTTCTCACGGACGATGAAGCGCTCATCGCCCATTGTAACATTTACGCATCCGCAATGCACAAAAGCTCGAAAGTCTCTCTGGCTTGGCGCGTCTCATTGATCCACGTGCCATACGGAGCTTGTGTTTTCTGGAGAGTGCGAGATGATACGTTCTGCACGACGGCCGCCATCGAGCGTGTTAAAAGTACACTCTAGCCGGTGGCTGACCGGCTGGGACCTACAACTCGTTTGGGATACGAAACAACTGGATGATCGGAAACAATTCCGTGCGTGTTTTTGGAGCTGTGGACAATACGACAGATCGTCCTATCGTCGCTGCTGTCGACCAAGCTGAGAAATACGCACGAGACAGCGCACTCTACTCTAGCGCATTCCGATCGAAGATGTTATTGGCTACGAGATCGCGCTGGCATCTGGCAGGTGCACGGAGGGGTCTGAATGAACGGGGCACTAGCACACTTCCTAGTCGGCGCAGCCGGGCTGCTTTGATCACTGGATGGCTTGCATAGAGAACCAAGAATTCGACCGCTGCAAGCAGGTCTGAAACTTATGGACCACCCGATGATCGAACGTTGAGGCAAAGAGGAAGGGTGAGGAGTCAGTAGTGAGTGTGTCTTAAGGGCCAAGCATGTCATAAGCATCTCAAGCTGTTGTCTGCACGCCACAAAATCCAACAAGCGCTCCTATAAGTGTGCGGCTCTCACGCAAAATAGGGATAGGGTCAAAAACTTTAGTTTTTTCGGTCTTGTTTTCGCCGAGACTGCTATTCATCGAGCCGTCGAGGACTTCAATAAAGGTAAGTTGTATTCATAAGCACAATCACATTTTTCCTCTCGCATCGCTAACTGCATCGCTTCACTCATCACGCACACATCACAAGCATCACCATCAAGGATCACGAGCACCCATCCGTATCACAGAGCACAGAGCACAGTATCACACTTCATTGAAATCATTACGGGAATTGTTTCGACATTGTCTGTCTCAGAAACGAGACTCACGTTTCGCCGTCAACTTCTGAAGTTCTGATATTTCTCTGCTCTGCTCTGCCCCGCTTTGCCAGGCTTGAGCCTCTCCTTCATCGAGTGTTGCATCAGTCTTCGCACTTCGTGCTCCAAGGGTCGGCTTGCCTCAAACGTCACGGGTTCACGAGCATCAGGCGTCGAGCCGACTTTGATTTTTGTGCGTGTGACTATATGTAGCGCCGTTGCATTAAACGTCAAACGTCAGGTGTCTGGTGCTGATCGCTGAAGACGTGACCATGCAGACTATCGGTCCTCCACACTCGGCACTCTACCCTACTGCGGAGCAAATTTACACTAGAGTCCAGAGAAAGCGAAATCAGTTGTGTCTTTACATCTGTAGCGCTCTGCGCCCTGTCACGAGCAAAGTGTGGGAAAGTACGGGCAGCCCTGGTAGGCCCCTGCGTACTGGGTAGCATCTGCCCATTGATATTGATATATGATATGTAGCCTGCGGTCTGTCAGTCATATGCCGACTACCGACAAGTGCCTGCGGACCTTGGCTACTTTCAGCACCCACTGGGCTGACGCTGGACTAGACCAGGGCCGACTGCCCAATAGAGACAAGTAGCCAGCGAAGTCTGTCGCTCGGACGCATGTAGCGGAAATTTGAGGTCGGAATCGTGACACTCAACAAACAAATCCCCACTATTCTATCCGTGCGGCGCCTGACACACCCTCGTTGTGTGGACAAAATGTGGATGCCTAAGGGCTCCGTCACGTGTCTAGCTTCACACGTTATCACGCGATTATGGACTGCCACTTGTACATCACATATCACATATCACATTCCCATGCTCACTCGCACATACAAAACCCGAGCCAAAAAAATGTTGCACCGATGGCGCGCCATCCAAGCTAACAGGATTTTCGCGTACGCACCAGCCCCAAGCTGTGTTCGTCCACAATCCAGCCTGCGGACTAGCTAAATCGACACGACGTGGACTGTAGGGTCATCGACAATTTTGGTGCGCGACGACTGGAACAGCGAATAAATCACTGCACCGACCCACCCAGTCTCGTCTCTATGGACGAACCCAGAAGTGAAATTGCTGACGCGGACAGCCAAACGAACGCATCCCAAATGCTGACTTTCTCCGCACGACACGAGACATTCATTGGGCAACTGCTCGATCGCCTGCGTAGCCGGCTAGCGCCAGCGTCTGCTGAGGTGCTGAAGGCGCCGATGCCCTCCGACGTACCAAGGCGCTCAAAGGCAACCCCCTGCCACACTGCCTCTGGCTGAGGCCTGGGCGCTCAGCTGCGTCAGCGCTGCGTGCGGCGCACCTCTGCTGCGGCTCTATAGTCCATGCCACATGTCATGTGTCACATATCACAAAGCTTGTCACACATCGCAAGTTGTCACATGTCACACCAATTACAAAAGTTTGGAAACAGACGCCGGATGCGGACCTAAGAAATTAATGGTCCAAGACCAAGACCGTCGATTGTCGATGCGCAGCTCCGGCTGGACTAGCGACGGACTAGCGCCAGGCTGCGTATCCCTGTGAATCTCTAGTCTTGCCTCAACAAAACAATCGCTCCCCTCCTGTTCCGCATCCCGATGCTGGTGCTCGCCGTCTGAGAGCGCCATATACCACTATCGTGGCACTATTACTTACCGCAGCGTGAGGTCTGCACTCCAAATCCATTCGCCAGTCAAATGTGTGCTTGAGCCTCGAGGCCAGGCTATCATGCCTGCGCGTAGGCGCTGAGCTGGAAACTGCTGGAGATATGGGATGATACCCTGGTTGCATGTGCTATGATAATATGTTTTATTGCGGGACCGCGGGAGACATGGGACACGTTGCCTAGACTCTAGACTCTGGACTCTCTGGCGTGGAGTAGAATTGATGTGTGTACCAGATTGTCAGGACATCACAGGATGTTTCTGGTTACATGGCCAGGGCCTCGCACCAACTCACACTTCGCGGGTCGCCCACCGTACCCGTAGCCATGTGCCTCGAGGTGCGCACACGGGGCATGTACCGTGCGCCCGTGGCAGTCGAGATTGTTGATTGCATAATCACTGATATCAGCTTTACGAAGCGATGAAACGAGATGGAAGCATGGAGCAAATAAACAAAGAAGCGAGAACGCTGATGCACAGTCGGCGCACGCAAAGTTCACGAAGGGCAAGAATGTAGTTTTGTTATGATTAAGAGGTATGCTGTTACAGATAGTTGGGGCGAGGCATCGGCCAAGCCGGGATGAGAACTGGAAATTGATGAAAAGTTGAAGCGGACCATATATGAATTGGTGTATGCTGCCAGCTTGAAGGGTATCAAATGCAATTGGCTGTGCTGTTTGTGTGGGTGTGTGAGTGTGGATGTGAGACATAGTTAGATGCGGCGGGGTTGATTTGCTCTGAAGTTGAATGGACCGAGCGGACGCCACGGATTAAGGAGCGGTCGGTCTTGCGATGCTGTTCGTAGTGCTACAGTGGGATTGATGCAGAGGTCACAACAAGGTTGTCTTGTTCTTGCGTCCGTGCGTACGCGTGTACACAGCTGCAGGAGAATGCACTTTTGAGATTCAGTCATGCTTGCATGTTGCAGTCCCAGCTGACGCTGCGCAGAGGCGGTCGTGTCGCGGCAGCTGCCGGAGCGGTGAGGCCGCCGTTGCCGAGGAAGGATGCCTTGGTAGACATGGCGTCGTGGCTAGAGCTGGCTGGAAGCATGCTCTCCTTGCCCTTGACGGCGTTCGTCACGGCGTGCGCCTGCATCCCCGCTGCAATCTGAGCGGCGCCGAGCGGATCGTGAAGAGAATGCAAAGACAACGGCGTGAGAGGCATGTCATCGTCGTCATCGTCTTCATCCACACCGCAACGCGAAGGGGTTGATGCCATCGAGGACGGTGTGGTGCACCGTGAACGCTCCGAGTTGTCATCATCTTCGAATTCGCCTCGAGAGCTGGATGAGCTGCCAACCATCTGGGCGGGAAGGAGGGTAACGCGCGACGCAGGTGAAGATGCCTTAGCAGTTGATGCAGCCGTGTTGCGGAGATAGTAGCTGCGCACACGAGCAGAGGCGTCGCCAAATGCCGAGCTGGAGTACTTCTTGGTTAAGATCGACGAGACGTCCTGAAGGTTCTCGCTCAGGATTGCATCCAGGAGGCGGGCAGCGCCTGCTGCCTCCTCGGTGACGCCCTTCTCAAACTCATTGTTGTCCCTAAGGCAGATGTAGCGAGCCAAGATAAGTGCACCGGTGGCAAGAGCAGACGGCGTGATAGCGATAAAATCACGGTGGAACAAACTGAGCTCCATTAGGAAGCGGGCAATGCTCTGTGCACTGTGACTCTCGGCGGACTTGACGCAGGCGATGCGAAGCCAAGCTTCCGCAGTCGGGTGGCCCAAATTCCAGCCGATGGTTGCGAGGACGTGCCCCTCCATCTGGGTGAATGCTGACTCATCGTAGGCATTGCAACACATCTGGCTGAGCTCCTGGATGGTTGGAACTCGGTCCTTTGAGTCCTCGTACTTGGCAGCGATGAGCAGTGCTGCACAGCCGACGAGCTGATAATGCCGCTTGTAAACGATGCGCTTGGATACATAGCGGTCGACAATGTTGAGGGTGAGGAAGAGCGTCTCGGCGCGAAGGCCAAAGGTCTGGTGAATCTCGATGAGAAAGTCGACAAGATACGGTCTCATGAACCAACGCAGCTCTGGCTGCACGTCCATGAGCTCGAGCGACGACATCGTTTGTGCCTGTGACGAAGATAGACGGATCAGACCGTGATCAATGGAACAAAGAAGTCGTATACACGCTCACCTCCATAGCAAACATGTGCTTGATGGCCTCTTCTTGGTACTCATTCTCCAACAAGATGCTCCGTGCCGATTCCGATGGTCGCATCGACTCAATTTTGACCTTGCTGCCGCTGGCCATGCTGTTCGTGGTCGAGAGAGAGGTAACAGAGGAGCCAGATGAAGACGATTCGGAAAAGGTGGATTGGGAGCCTTCCTGACGCGCCAGTTCTTGTGAGGCAGCCAGGATAGCTGCGCGTTGCAGCGAGGATGGAGTGCCCGATACCCTTCCTGCAGGTGCCTTTCGCTTCCCTCTGACACTGCCCGAGCTCGAATTCGACCCGGCAGAGTCTTGACGGCATCGGTTGTAGAACGAGCCACGGTGGCTGAGATAACTGGCTGTGTTTGCAGATGGCGGCATGATGATTGTCACAACGTGAGGGGGCAAAGGTTGAAGATGCTGTCTATAGATCTGTAGGGAGTGTGGGAGACCGAGTGTACGAGAGAAGGTAAAGACCGTGGGAAGGTGAACAGGAGCGTGAGGAGTGTGTCGAAAGGGAGTCGTGGAGAGATGGTGAGGACGGAAAGAGGGTTAAGATGATACAGAGACAATAGGGTCAGCGATGATGGTCGATGGTGATCAGCCGATATATAAAGATGTGTGATGGGGATAATGGTGGGGAAGGTAGTGGTGGTTTGCAGGTGCCTCTGCTAGACATGGAGATGACCGACGGTCTGGCTTGAAATTACGCTCGCAGCGGAAAGCAAGCCGTGGCAAGCCGACCACATTGAGAAGCAAACATAGGGGCGATAGGCATGCGCACTCACAAAGCGGATAATAGAATGATAGCAATGCAATGTTCATACGGCGCTGAAAGCTTGTGCACCTGTGATGACCTGCAAAGCGCACGCAAGGCTGTGGCCGTTGGCTGGCGTGAGTGAATGCGGACGCGCGTGGATCGAGGTGATCTTCACCGTCGAATGAAGGATAAGGGCTAAGGACAAGCGGCACGCGCATGTGAGTCCGTACGCTTAGCCGGAATCGAAGTCGGCGACAGCGGAGCGCAGGCTGGTGGCTCTGATGGCACGAGAGACGAAAAGCCTGTGTAGGACGCTGAGACAGCTTGCCATCGCGTTAGCACATACGGTCTACAAGGCATGATAGAAAGCTCGAAGCGGCATCAAGCACTCACACACAGCCGACGTGCTCACAGACTCCGAATACGGACGCCCCGTAAGGAAAGGGCAGCGGAGCTGCTGCTGCTGCAAGGAGCCGCGTCATTGTAACAGAGAGAGAACGCCAATAGAACGCAGCAGGGGGACGTGGATATGGATGATGGACGATGTTGGCGAGTGTCGAGCGGCAAATGGTGTGCAGGGCCGTTGTGGTGATGTGGAAAAGGAAGGGCAAGCAAGGAATGAGCCAAATCCGTGTCTGTCTGCAGTTGAGTTTGTGTGTTGTTCTGGGCTCCTGTGCCAGCGACAACGCGCCAGATGCCAAACGCGCGCGCGCCAAACAACACGAACGCACGCCACGCCCACCACCACAGCACCCCGCATCTCTATCCCGCCAGCCACGCGCATTCCTCGCCCTGCTGCGTTCCGCTCCTCGAAGTCTCACACGCACGCGCGCCCACGCACGCGACGCCCACCCGCACGCACCCATCCACTCCACCCGCACCGGTCGTGTCCTCCCTGCCTCTTCCTTTCTCCTTGTTCGCGAGCTTTCGGAGCGGTTCTAAATCGTCCGAAGGCGAGCGAAAAAGCACAGCAAGGCAAGTCTGCCGGCTGAATGTCGAGCAAGTCCAGGCAGGTCGTCAAAGCATGCGAGCCATCCCTCTTTCCATATTTGCATCCTGGTTTGTGCCCATCTCCTACTCCAAGCGGCTGAGATGCCTGAATGGCTTGTATATAATATAATAGCAACTTCGAAAAGGCCATAGACCCTTGCCAAAATCAGATCCCCTCCGCCCCCAGCCACTTTCCTCATCGATCGAGAGTATCCGCTGGAGCTTGCTCGTTACCATCATGGCAGCGGTATCCTCGCAATGCTGATCGCTGATCCAGCTTCTCGATGGAATGTCCACACACTGAGCACGTCTATGAAGCAGTAGATCATTTTGCAACGATCCGCTCGACGCTACCTGTGCATGTCACCTCGACCGGTTTCTATCTCCACCGAATCGCTTGCCAGCACTTCTTCGTTGCTGTACTTTTGAAGACTTGAACTCACAAGTGAAAGCAATAGCAGCAAGTACCAAGAATGGGACGCAAAAGAAGCACGCCGCGTCGGCTGGGTTGAGTCGAGTCGGGTCGTGCCAATGGGAGAGGCTGACAGCACAGCACAGAGACCCTGGAAAGGGCTGTTGAAGTTGAAGAAAGGAGTCCGTCGTCGTCGAGCTGTCTGTCTTTTGACTGGAAGAAAAGGACACCGGCCCACGACACAGGAGCAAATGGTTCGGATCGTCAAGAGGGTCAAGTACTAACCATTTTGGCTGGCCTTGTGAAGGAGCAAAGAGTGAAAAATCCTCCTTCGTGTCATTTGTGTAGCGAATGGACATCTATGATGGTGGAGCGACAATTTGTGCGCCAATTGTGCAGTCTTCGAAGTGATCACCATCATCGTCGTCACAGGTTGATGTATAGATTGTTACAGCCACTGAGACCCATTGGCTGCAGGCTGCAGAGCTGTGTAGCAGCGTGCAGCCAGTATATTCCAGCGACCGTCCCATGCCGTCTCGCAGGCGGCACATATTGCCTCGCATCTCTTCCGGGCTTCACAAAAATCGTTCACACTGCAGTGTGCACATTACTGTTTATACATAGTACCTGCAATACATTTGCATTTGCAGCTTGCATCTTCACACTTTTGTGGTCGGACGACTGAAACAGGTCCAGATCTCCGGGTCACCAAACACAGCTGCATGCGTGCGCCACGCGGGTGTGATGTTCATGGTATGTGCACTGATGTAATTGGTGTGGGAAGCTTGTGGGGACCACCCACCACTTGTTAGCGCGGGTGCTGTGTGTCCATTGTGTCAGTATGTATGTCACGTCAGTAATTTAACTGGTTGCATTGAAATCTCTCACATATCGTGTTGTGATTCTAGAAAGTGACAAGGGTTGTTTGATTTTGGTACGGTAAGAAGGTTCTGCTTCGTACCCAGACGAGGGCTTCGATCCCGTTCCGCACTACGTTTTAGGTACAAAGCATCAACTTTTCGCAAGTTGGCTGACTTCACTACTGCCATCCCTCCTGAGTTCGACTGAACGGCATATGAACATGTTTTTTCCACATCGTGCACCATGGAGACGACGCCCAGGATCCTCAACTCGATATCGGTCATCATTCGAGGCACTAAATCATACTCCCTCTTCATTGAATACACACTTTTACGGATGCTCTTTGATTGCCTACCTCTTCGTATGTCGAAAAATGAGCAAGGCCTCTATCCTGATATGGTTGGACGGGCAACCATGTGCCACCATACTACTCTACAGTGACTTCAACATGATCCAGAGGAGAACGTACAAGGCACAAGAGTGCAGCAACAGACCGGCAAAGAGGAGTACGCTTTAGCTTTCTCGACGAGCGAGCTGGGCGCCTACCGTGCGTAATGAGAACAAAGAACAGGTTACAATCATGACGCAGCCTGGAGCTTTCAATGAATTACCCAAGGCCTTGCACCCATCACAATGCTGGGGAAGAGTCGGAAAATGTAAAAAAAAAACCTACAGGAGCTTAGCAACGAGAAAGCCGCACAAGTGTCCTCTCCTAGCTTTTGCGGATTAGCTTGATGTAGCAGCAAGATGCTAATCAAACGGTACCAACCAGTTTTTATGAAGCAGCAGCAAGTGCATGAACAAGTGCACGCACGGTGCCCTAGCCAGACCTCTCCAGATTCTCGACGAGTTCCAAGGGGCTCGCAGAGACCGTGCGGCGAGCTGTTGAAGGGCACACAGATAAGTGCACAAACTTGAAGGTGATCCAGTGAATAGTCTACAATAACACCTGCTGGGGCGCCTGAGCATGTCTGTGCAAGCTGACTTAATGCAATTCGTTTAGCGAATGGCTTCTGCATAGTAGAGCAAGAGTTGCAGGCATCGGAGTCGAACGACTATCCTATTTTTCGTTAAACCTTCGACCGAGAATCGCTTCCTGCGGTCGTAGCGCGCTGCAACCTGTGCCGTCGCTAAGCTTGGTTTGACAGAGCTGCCATGTACTCCTGGGAACAACTACTTCAGCACGAAGGATTGACGTCAGGGAGACGCAGCGGCACCACGGGTCGGACTTCTCGGCATGTTCTTCATAGATGCCTTCCGAACGTTTCTAGAAGACGACATCCCAGAACATTGGGGGATTGCGGATATGGTGAGCAGATCGGCGTGGCGGACTCATACGTCACCGTGGCTTTCTTTTGGGTAGGAAGGTCGGGACCTCCAGGGGACAGAATGCCGGAAGCAGAGGGGCTGAAGGATCAGAGATACGACACTTTCTAGACATTGGTTGCAGTGAATTCATTGTTGACTAGATATATTGAGGGAATGCGATGATATGCGTGTTACGACTATTTCTGCGATGCGAGAACGGTATTGCACACATACAAGATGTACCGCACATATAAAACAAGGATGTTGATTGACGGTTGCTGAACCCGATCTGTGTCTGCTACACTTGCCGCTGCGGCCGAACGCTTCTACGGGCCCTCCTGGTGACGACTCACGGTCGGCCGATGACATCATACGCCATGGTCGGCACACCAACCTGGCGTATCGCTAACCTTCAGCCTTTCAACAACGCATGACAATATGGATCAACTGACACCAAGACTTCCTAGAATCGAGCCAGACTGACTCATGATCATAATCACCGTATAACGGACTGAACCCCCGAATGCCAAGACAGGGTGGAAATGTATATGGATGGCATTGATTCTCACGGGGTATCTTTGGACAAGCATATCCCCCACTGCCGCACACAGACTCGAAGGCTTCAAAGATGATGGTGTAAGTGATGCTCAGACACGCGTGAAAGGCTTCAGACTGTCAATCATTTGTTTTGCTGTGTGGCTAAAGACACCTCGTCACACAAGGCGCGGAAGTGGTGCTAATGCCCATGAACCTCAATGAAGGGACTCACTGGTCACTCTTGGTGATAGGCCTAGTCAGCCAAACGCCCGTATACTATGACCCTATGCACGGAATTCCCCCTTAGAAGATGTTGGAAATGGTGGAGACAGTGCAAAGATGGGTGTTCATTTGAGCGTAAAGCGAAGAAGTATCACTAAACGATTGATTGGTCAAGCTGGATGTTGAAACTTGCGCACGATGTCCAATACGTCTTGAAACGTGGAATTGATAGGTAATCATCGTGACCACGATGGAGGATTAGTGTTATAGGGAAACATACCGCGACGATGAGGGTCAGGTCCTATAGCCCTTCCTGGCGCAGGACCATGGATTGGACGACGCTCAAATACTTGCTGCGGATTGGACTTGCTTGAGTAAATAGTGCATATACTTAGCAAACATTTGCGAGCTTTCAGAGCTAGAGAAAGCAGAAAATTATCAGCTGTCGCGCATTGAACGGCACCAAGCAGGCATCTCTGGCATCCTTGCGAGCGCCAGGTCGACATGAAGCTTTGGCCACACTTGTAGATTGCGAGTGTGACATGCACAGAAAGCCCTAGAAGGTCATATTCGCAGTTACACGTGCTGTAGGTGATCGATACAGTGTACAAGAGCATAGATTGGATGCACAACGACGAGAGCGAAATGAAGCAACTTGTGCAAAGTTGATGCTTCGTACCTAGGATATTGGAGCTGACCAGGCTGGAAGCCTCCTGTCAAGGTACGAAGCAACAGCTTCTTATGGTACGAAAATCAACAATCCTTAGGCGTGATGCCTTATCATGTCTGGTGCATGTGATGAGCACACTCCCCTGGCTCGGAGACCCAATGATTAGTGGCGTTTTCAGTTTTCGTGAAGTGTGCCTCCGGCTGTGACAAAAGTCCCCATTCGAACAGGTGGGCTTTCGTCAATGTGTTGTTCTTCGGTATATGTGACGCCAATGTGACCACCGTGATTTGCATAGTATGGTGTGACATGTGTGATATCATTTAAAATGGTGTGATGTGTGATAGGCGATATGGCCACCAATCCAGAATCACCCTGACGCGGATGGTGATTAGACAAATTCGTTTCGTTGAGTCTCTGAAGGGGTTACAACTGTAAATACATGACCCCGTCGCATGCACATGTCAGTATGTCACACATGGCATATCAAGGCGGTCAACCAGACTCCTGCGACTTCTCATCAACCATCCGGACCTAGAGTCCTCCAGGCCCAAGTGTCTCCCAAGTCCCAGGGTTAATAGTGTGAATTGAGAGAATGGGCACTCTCTCACAGGGCCTAGATTTGCACAGACTCTAGGTATATAGGGCAAAGATCCTGGATGGTCGCATGGCGCAGAACCGCGCAAAGCGATACAGTCTCCTCTTTCCCAATTTGATGAAGCGTCATCGCATCATTACGTCTTCCAATCTTCAAATAAGAGGCGTCTGGAGCAAGGGCGAAGGCGAGTACATCCTCATATATCAAAGCGTCTGTGGAAACGAGCGTCCCCAGACCCTCTTTGCTCCTTCGCATAACTCAACCATAGGCCCTTTAATCCCTCCCAGCTCCCTACCATCTCGCTCGCTTATTACAGAGCATGCATGTACTTTCTATCTTCCTCTACTTTTAGTATATTGGGATATATGCGCACACTTGGGCATATCTGGCCATGTTCTTGTATTCGTTCACCCCTTCTGGCTGGTCGCTCACTGTGCATCGTCTCCGTTCACCATTAGCGAGTGTCACTTGTGGATGGAAAGGAGGGGTCGAGTTTGAGACGCCTACTGTCAGAAATACGAGAATATAATAGTTCTGTCGGGATATGAAGACGTGGGCTGTGAGGCGTGAGGTCTGCCGGCTTGATATCAGGCCTTCAACGAGAGCTGACGATACCAGGCTTGAAATGACGCTCTCAAACTTCACGATACCGAAAGTTCTTGGTAACTCTCTGGGTGTGAAAGTGAACATGAAAGAACAATGACTCGTACAAGAAATGGGCGTCCTTAATGAATTTTATGGCCACTCAAATTCTGCGAGTTAGCGACGCAGTATACGGACGACAAAGAACACACCGAGGGCTAGCAGAGCAGGGCAGAGCCTCAACTCTGGGCGGAGGAATACGGAACAACTTTCATCATTTCGACGCTCCAGAGACACCAAGTCTCTCTGTGAGAATGACACAGGGCTATACCCTGCCCTCTCTCGGTAGATGAAGCACCGGCAAGCGGATCAGCTGTCTCGAAGGTGGATGGGGCACTTTTCAAGCTGGAGCAGAAAGCAGACAGAGGTGCGTCGCTTGCGAGGAGAATTGCTGCACGACAGTGCTCCTCTCAAACACTGACCATGTGAAAACACCCTGGAGAGACTGCAGGGAGCTTGAGATTGTCCCCGGTGCTGAGGTTCAGGTTAGCACGGGAGGGTAGCGAAACATTGCGCCCCTATTTCTTCGCGGCTCGCCTTGTTTGCCTAACAGCCGAGAATACCCAGACTACCTGCCCTCGGGGTGCTTTCGGAAGTTACTTTGTTCGAGCGAGGCGGGGCTATACTTGTGTCGAATGGTTGAGTGCAAGTGCCCGTTGATCAACGCTTGACATCCCCAAGACCCGCCCCC